CATGAAGTAACTCGACTCGAGTTGACACTAAAACGCGTGTAAATTATTCTTCATTTTCCATTTTATCACTAGTTCAAATAACAAAATGAGGATAAATCAGGATAGAGAGGGAAAGAGAGAGGTGTAGATGTGTAATAACGACTTCCGGTCATCTCGATCAGCTATTATCAATTAAATTCCCCGAACGAGTAATTACGCGGTGAATCATAGCGAGATAGATATCGAGAGGATGCACACACGCGTGTGGATGAATATAAAGGTGGAAGTCGCGTGCCGAAAAAAAAACAGGCTTGAAGAAATAATACATTGAGGACCCCTTGAGCCACTACTTTATCTCGTGTTTGCATCTTGGTTTCGGATTACCACTCGTTCGCGCCTTAACCCTTGGAGAAGTCATCGCTTCCGTCGGCCAAATCATCAGCTCAGAGCTCTAGGCTATTGAGGGACCAACGAGACTAGTCTCATGAACAAAGTGGTTTTGAGTGTCTCATGGTAAAAAAATACTCCAGGGTCACGAAATTTTATAGTTCAACCCGAATAAAACAAGTCGAGAAGAAAAAAAGAGATAAAAAAATGGTGATTGGCCTCGATCGTGAGAGATGCGGCTTTTTATGGGAATTATTCGACTTGGACGAGGGGTTTAGTGCTTGTAATGGTCCAACCATTGACAATGCATGGGACGGATCAATTTCTCTTCCATTCGCGCTCCGATTTTACTACCTGGCAATTAGCATATGTTATGTACCTGCGGTACTTGTCATCGAGGTCTTACAGACGGTTCTGAATCTCTCGCGACTCCTGATCGGGTACCCGCCAAATTCAATGGCCACACGAGGCAAATATTGAATTAAATTATTTTTTCGCAGGCAAATTCCATAATCAAATAATCTGAGTTCACAGTATTCTCGTTTTCTTCCGGTTTTGAGATAATTGGTCTCTACCTTTAGTATTGAGGTAATTTTTTTAAATTCCCGCACTATACCATTACCACCATTTTTCGTGGAGTTATGGGGAACGATATTTATACATAAAGAATTCAAAGTAATTTATGAATATTTTTTTATTCAATGTATCTTGTTCAAGAAAATTTATTCATCTTGACGATTTAATCAAATTCAGAATTCTGGTGGTGAGCAATTATTCCGGAAGATTGAAATGAATGCATATATCAGATTCCTTCACTTGTATTTTTTGAAATGTAAAAGAGGAAAGTCTATTGACGGATTACGAGGATTATTCCGTAATTTTTATTAAGTATTTATATCGGTGAATCATAGAGATTGTTGTCTAAGCTGATTATTGCACTGATTCAACCTGATTTCAGACAGATCGATAAATAATCCTGGGGTTTCGTGGTTATAAGGAGATATGTTTGAACTTATTCACGAGAATTTATTGTTTCACGAATTGCCGGGGGTGGGGAAACCTTTCTATGTATGACCTTGTTACCATTTTTCGATTCAGGGGATATTCGATTTCTTAATAATTAATTAATCGCTCTATCAATGTGCGATGTTGAAACGTTTGTAATGGAAATTTTGAAGTGCCTGAAATAGTGAATTTTATAAAGTACTGTGCGAGTTTCGCTGGCGTCAATGAATTCGTTTGAATTTCAAATTATGCAATCACTATATTTCCCGTTTTTATCTAAAATTTAAGAAGATTGGTTTTTGCGTGGCGAATGGAATGATAATGGATTTTTCAATGAAAGCTTGAATTTCATGTTATTTTGTCATCGTTAAAAATTTCAAGTTTTTTGTACATGAATTTCAACTGTAATTTTCCAACAGTGAAGTTTACACACAGCGGAACTAAAGATAATCAATCAAATTTATCTCCCGCGACTTCAGCATCTTTTGACTGACATTATGATTCATTCATGAGGAAAAAGATTAGGAAATTCCCTGTTAATGATTTTTCGCCATTATCATTACACTTTTAGATTTGACAAAATTTGATGAAACACATTCCAGGGATATACGAAAAAAAACTTTTTCCAATTCTTCTGCATCCATCAGCAGGGGTGCTACCCTAATTTCTGCGAGTACTCACGGAATTAAAAAACTGAAATTCCATCAATAGATTTGCATGAACATTTTAAATATGAACATCAGGAGACGAAAAAGCTATCATATTCAAAATCCACTCAAACCCAACCAATTAAAAATTAACGCGTAATTGTCACTGAACTTATCAGCGATTCCGCGTCGAAACAAAGAAAATCAATTAAATTTATTATCCCCCGGGTCTTTAGCATCCTCGAATTTTGACACAGTGTGCGTCATCCATAAGGGGAAAATTGAGGTGGGAAGAGGGTCCAGAGTGGACAGAAGACAGCCGTAAAAAATAAAGACGACAACGAGAGATCCCGACACACGTTGTCCACAAATATGTTCACGGTCTGTGAATGGGTGTGTGATACTGCAGATCCACCAGTGTTGGAGACCTACACGAAAACCCTTCTACGAGATCCGGCGCCGTGGCGCCTCCAAACCCACCGCCTGGCCAATTTCAAATCCATTCATTTTTTTTTTCAACTTCCAACCGAGTCTCTGACTCCTGAAAAATTTCGCGAAAATCTTTCAATTCGTTTCCATTTGCCGAGGACATGCGCGCCCGTTCGTCATCATCGCCATTAAAAATAAGAGATGGCAATGAGATTGAATCAGACCTTTTGACATGACTCCCTCATCGGGATCAATAAACTTCAGGACTCGCATTGATGGTCATCTCCAAATGGCCACTTTAGAGTGTCTGAATGTCTAAATGTCTGAATGTCTTGTCTCTTTTGTATCCGGTACCCCGTGTTTGTACCTGTGGACGAATTTCGTCGGGAAAAGGTCGAGAAGATGGACAATAACTGAGTAATAGACTCTCTCTCTGGAATACAGAGGGTCTTCTATATCGGTTTTCGAGTGAGATCCACACTAATGTAACGATGGGGACCAGCCGGCGCCAGGGGACACTCCTGGCCATTTGGCGCCACTTGAGGTCGTGGAAAATGTGACACCCGAAATAGAAAAAATACACTCCAATTCACTCCATCTAAAATTAATCCACAACACTCCAATCAACTTCATCAGCTAAATTTGATCTATTTCGTTTGCATTTTCACGGACTCAAATATTATAATAAATGACCTGGAGAGACGAGAAAATTCAATTTTAAATGATTATTTAAAGGTCGGATTGAAATTCAATGAAATTATAATGAATGTTGAGGATTGATTGCTTGAAAAATTTTAATGACTGTTTGATTGGAAGTGGAGCTCATGTTGATGGAAAATACATGGGTTTGTGTTGTACCAACGATTTCCACAACTCGGTGAATGCCCAGATTTACATGTTCCCCTGATACATCGACAAGTTTAACAAACTGACGTAAACCTAGTATTGAGCATAAGTAACAGAGTCCCCTGGATTTGCAAGAAAATTACACCTGTAACCCGCAGGGAAAGAGGCATTGGGTACATACGAGGTACTCCATAATCCGAGACATGTAAATATACAAATGTCTGTTAGTCCCTGTCGTTGTTATGGTAGCTTGTGTATAATGCGCACGTGCAAGTCCCAAGTCTCAGAGCCGCAGGTGAGACTCGATAAAACCCGCGTTACCGGATTAGAGAAATCACCGTGAGCAGTACTGAATTTACGCTGTCATTAATTTATATTATCTCCACTATTTTACTGGTGAAAAATCATTTCACCCATGGAATATACTGGGGTTAAAAAATCATTAGCTCATTTAAATCGAGGATTGAATTATTGTTGGCATACCAATTTACTCATTCAATAGTTGTGCAAATGAAAACGGAATGTATTAATGTATGATTGAACTTATTTCCCGGGTCTATTCTTCATGCCCATAAATTTGGATTAAGTTATTCAACATTTGAGCAATTTGTAAATGTGAAAATACTCACACGCAGATACTTCCACAGCGATATCATTTTTTTTTATTCAATCATTTGAAATTCACCGCAAATTTACTGTTCGTTTTCAAATACATTTTGTGGTAGAGAATAAATTTTATAACCCTCGAGAATTCCTCATTATCAATTTCATTCATTTACTACCAATTTATTATTTATGACTGAGCTTGGATGTTTATCGTGATAAATTTCAACATGCAAATTGATGTTGTAAAATCGTTGAATAACAATCTTGGGGTGTCATTTATAAACAATTCAGTGTGAATTTTTTTCTTTTCAATTCAATTTTTTATCAACTTGGAATTGTTAAAAATGAGGATTCGAGAGTGAGAGGTATTGAGAGGAAGGTATACGGGTTTGATGGTGAATCGTTTATCCGACGAAAGAAGGGTTTTGGTCCCGCCTACACGCCGCTGGCATTCGCGGTCGCAATGGCCGCTATCCGCTATCTCCGATTTCACGGTTGTGCCTCGAATCCTCATCCCAAGGCGCACAAACCACCCAACGGAGGTGGAGACAGTCTCTCATCCTCCTTCACTCCATTCTCTCCGCCTTCGACCCTCTGTATCGCATTGTTTTATTTGAACTGGGCCCTCCTCACCGTCCGCCCTGCGATTCCCTTCTCGCAATAAATTTCATGTCGAGGGTTACAGTTGGTCCAGGCACCGGTGCCAAGCCCCAACGATCATGGTTGTCTCACCAAATGCCAAATACGAAGTACTCGGGTCATGATCTCCACGTACACAAAGCAAATGGGCGATTCAATGTTTTTTCAAATGTCCATTTGTTGCGTCTCGTTATGACCAACTCAGGATCATCATTCACATCTCTGTTGAGTCAAGTAGCCCGCGGCTACTTGCCAAGTAGACACTCGGTCTACAAGTATTAGATACTTTATTATTACTCATCAGATTAAGATGAGGCTCGAACGACTCTCGGGAAAACTCAATAGCTCGATAACTCGATAACTCGATAACGAAAATGCTCATTTTGAAACATTTGTGATGATATTAATTGTGCTATTATTAGCCGCCATTTTATCAATTATTATGCTATTATTGTTATCCAGCTAATGCGGTGGTAGGTGCTCTCGGATAGAATGTTCCACGGAAGTGGAAGTGGTGGGTACGGAGCGGGCACCGACTACCAGACACAACAGTCCCAGCAACAGCAACAACAGCACAATCAGCAACTCCAGGCGCCGGTTTATGTGCCGTCCTCCAGGCCGGCTATTCCAACAGCAGCCACGGCGCAGTATCACTCCTTTCCTGGTTCTGCTTCACCCGCATGGTACCTCATTTTCAATCAATCTATCTCTAATTTCTAATCTATATTGCCTAATTTCATTATTGGTGAATTAATTCGATGAAATAATGAAATTATTCGTTGAATTTTATCAGGGATAAAACGGCATCCTGGCAGCATGGAGTCGACGGTTACACGCATCATGCTCTGGCAGGACACACGGGTGGTTCTCCAGGGGGAATGGGAGCCCATGGAGCCCACAGTCATCCCCATTCATCCCATCCCCACACAGCTCACCCTCATGCCACCCTGGCAAGTCCATTTTACGCGCAAAATGTTGCGATGATGTCCTCCCGGTGGCCTTACGAATCCGCCGGATTTCAACGCGCCTCGCCGTACGGTATGTCCCCTCTATTTCTTTTTCAACTAGAATTAGGTGAATGTACTCAGCAATGAGGCCTGATATCCCGAACAAAAGTAGCGGGACTACTTGCACTACGACGATAAGATATCGTCGCTATTTCCTATTTCCACCGATTAGTTATTATCGTAGGCTTTTTAGCTGCGAGGAGGGGAGTAATGGTTTTTTTTTATCACAACATGCGGGTGAGTTGGAAACGATTTTTCCAACGTAACTTTTCCATTCTTCTTCCATGTCTGTGGTACGAGAGGTCAAGCTATTTTTAATAGTCAAGTGTAACTCGTTTGAAGTTGTGATTCATTAGAAGAATTATTTCAAGTTCAATTTACATTTTACACTGTTGGAAAATGAAATTTCAAATTTTCAAATAAAAGCGTGAAATGAAACTGAAGCTTTCATTGAAAAATCAATTAGAATTCCACATGAAAAATAATTTTTAATTTCTTGTCTTGATGAAATATCGATCCAAGGATTTCAATTACGAGGAATGATTGAAGTCCCTGGAGATCGAAGGCACTGCTATGATTTTGCTGGAACATATCTCGCAGTGAAATTAGTGGGCTCACCTGGAGTATGTCTGGGAAGCCGAGAGGCTATATGAGAATGAGAAGTGATTTCTTTTCTCGGATCACACACACCAGAAGCGATTAACCGAGGGCCATGTGGGCACAGACTTGGAAATATAAGTGATAGCGGTGAGCTTTGAGGGATGTTGCCACAGAGCACAGAGTACTCGAGTGCTCCCGCTGCAGTTTTCTCCTTGCAGACCACTTAAGAGACTCGATAAATTAGAGGGTTCGAGTCTTCCGGGGGCAGGGGGTTAATAATCGATCTGTCATGCATTCTAAATTTGAAATTATCGCGCTGGTCTTTTATCTCAACTTCCTGAATTACCGGAGGAGTTTACGCCTCCAATGGTCAACGGTTCCGTCCCCAGGTGGCGACAGCTGGCGACCAATTTTTTGTTTAAATAAATATGATTATTGTCGCCCAAAATTCACTCAATTCGTTTCACCGCGTCGATATTGAATTTTTTAAGCAAAACGGGCCAGGACTAATTAACTTAATCGCTTAATTAATAATTGTTACTAATGATAGCTGAATTCAATTAATGTTGAATTAAATGAATAATCGGTCTAGTTCAAGGAGAAAGCAGTTAGAAACAAGAATTTCTGATACAAGTTTTTATTCTTGTAGAAGAATTTTTTGAAATGCTTAATTATATTGAATGTGTATCTCAATTTGTGTTTCGCAGATACAGCGATGGATTTTCAATTCGCGGAGGGGCGGGAGTGCGTTAATTGCGGTGCCATTTCCACCCCATTGTGGAGAAGAGACGGGACCGGACATTACTTGTGCAATGCCTGTGGACTTTATCACAAAATGAATGGGATGAACAGGCCGCTGATCAAACCATCAAAACGCCTCGTAAGTATTAGAATCCAGTCCAAGCCCATAACAATTTTCCAAATTGGGATAATGCGAAAGAAAATCTAGGTGAATTGGTACCGGGAACTGAGCAAAGAGGATAATATTGGAAATTTTATTCCATTTTGTCTAACAATAATTAAATCCATGCAATTTAATTGTTGAAGAAATAGAAGAGACCAGAAGTAGTGCGATACCCTAACGAATTTTCATATTTGGAAATAATTTTTTTGGCCGAGGGGAAATTAATTAAAAACTTAAATGCCTATGCTATCTCATTCACCCTGGGCTATCCACCTGGTTTCGCACAATTTTAATTACCCTCTTATCACGAATTATCGCCATTCGGCGTACGTAATTGGCAATGGGACAGATCTCCGAATTCCAGACGGCGACGAGACGACTGGGTCTGTGCTGTACCAATTGCGGAACCAGGACAACGACACTCTGGAGGCGTAACAATGAAGGAGAGCCGGTTTGCAATGCCTGTGGTCTCTACTTCAAGTTGCACGGGGTAAATCGCCCATTGGCAATGCGAAAGGATGGAATACAGACGCGTAAGCGAAAGCCCAAGAAAACACCTGAACCAAATGCACCACGATCCACTGGAACCGATCACGAGACTTCGACATCGACCACTTCGTCTCCGTCGAATGGTAACTATAGAACGACATTTAAAATTCAATTATATTTTTTTTAGTTATAAACCATACAACGAAAATTCCAACAAACAACTTTTAATCTGAACTAAATAAAAAATGGAATTTCCTAAGAGAATTTTTTGCAAATTAATTCTCTAGATTTGAAAAGCAGTCAGCAGCAGCCTCAGCATCACCAGATAGAATCAACAAAATCCTCATCATCAGTATCAACCGAACGTCCGGTTTATCTCGGTCACACATCATTACTGGCAACTGGAGGAGTGCCAGCAGTAAAAACCGAGCCGCGAAGTTGCGACGGACTAGTCGGACAGCCATACTCATCGTACTACCAGCATCCCCATCAGCTCGATCCACCAACTAGTGAGCACCAACAGCAGAATTATTACCAAACCCAAGAGACTTCGTACCATCATCAGCACCACGTAGCAACAGCTGCAAAACTTCTCGCGTCATCCTAGGAAATTACCCCCCCATTCGAGATTTTGCTATTACTATTGGATATTTGTTCCGGCACTGGGAAAAATTTATAGTAAAATTTATCCTGACGTACAAAAATTTGAGTTTGGCAACAATCCGAAATCGAATTATCATTGCATTCAATCGACAGTCATAATTGCAACAAAAATGATTCTATTATTGTTAATGATATTATTAAAATGTTATTATTTTGATTTTTTAGGGGTATCTTAATAATTGTATTAAATTATTATAATATTTAATTACAATTGTGCTCGCGAAAACTCCACGAAGATATTCCCATTTTTTACAACATTATCAGAATGGATTTAACTATAAATTTTTCTCTGTGTAATTAATTAATTCTTTAGTGTCCTGTTGAAGGAGTACTTTATGTGTGATACTTAAGTTATTTATGCACACGCGATACATCGATACGGATGCGTCTGAGTAGATCATTTTTTTACATTTTTTTAATGTTTCGTCTGTAAATATTGCAGGAACAGTTCAACGTAGTAGACATTAATCATTGATAATTATTAGATTAATCACCGATCAATTGAAAAAAAAAATGCACCTGTAAATAATACTTCAAACTTATCATTAGATTCCACCTTATTCCGATGAATTTTGATTTAAGATAATTAATAAAAATAATCGTAAATTGTGCCGTAGGAATTACAAAGAGTCCCTCAAATTTTTTTTTTTCGTGTACTTAATGCAATAAAGAAAATAGCTACAAACGAAGATATCAACTTGTGAATTTTATTAATCTTTACCCATGACCCCTTTTATTATGTGTGTTCGAGTGAGGATAAAGCTTTCCACCGGAAGAGGTGCTCGAAGGGTGAATGACGGAAATCTTGGGCAAATATTTTTTCTAGCTCTACCTTTAACATCGATGTTTCCATCCCCTAGTCATGGGTGTTGTTTTATTCTAACAAATCCTCTTTCTCCCCCTTCTCGATTGGAATCAGAATTGACGGTGTCGACCTGGACGAATGGACAATTCGAGTTCACACCGCAGAGTTGAGTGATCGACGATCTGACGTCGTTGACGATTCAAGGATATAGTGAAATGGGTGAGTTTTTCGAAGAGAAATTCAAAATTCCGTTACCGTTTTTACTAGGACATTTTTCAATCGCCAAGTGCCATTTCCGCTTGTCAGTCATTAAACCGTTAATATGTGGCTTGAAGGAGATAGCAAGTCTAAACACTTTCGGTCTTTAATATTATTTCTCTGATTGTGAAATTATGACTGAGATTATTTTAACGCGAGGAGAATACCATTTCGGATTAATTAACGATGAGAGTCCGTTCTTTATTGAAATAATTTTATGCAGAGCTGCACGTGAGCTAATTTTTTTTTCTATTCATTAGTGAGTTCTCAGAAATTCAAAGCGTTCCTGAATATCTAGAGTTTGAATCGACATTTCGGCGGAATTCCTCCGGGCTTTCAGTTTGACTTTTCCGCGCTGTTCTGTACTCATTATCTTTTCCAATCGAACAGGAAGAACACTTCCAACACCGGTTGCTTGTAAAGTCTGCGGTGATCGATCTTATGGAAAGCATTACGGTGTCTATTGCTGCGACGGTTGCTCCTGTTTCTTCAAGAGATCAGTTCGCCGAGGTGCATTATACACATGCATAGGTGCTCTTCAATTGCTCAATCATGAATGTAGATCTTTTTAAAAAAAAACCGGCGAATTTTTATTATGATTGCAGCAGGTACAGGTTCATGCTCAGTGGACAAAGCCCGGAGGAACTGGTGTCCCCACTGTCGCCTGAAGAAGTGCTTTGCGGTGGAGATGAATACCGCAGGTGAGAATCATTCAATACGATAATTTTTCAACCCACGGTATTGCAGCATTGAGAGATAAATATCCGCGAGATTGACTGAGAGTGGGGGCTGACTCAAGGAGAAGCAAACATAGGCCGCGTGCCCGACACACGTCCAACCGCTAGTGTAGGATGTGTCAACATTCATAATTGACAGACCGGTGAACTAGCACTGTCAGAGTCGGGGGTTGAGTAAATAAATCCCGTCGTAGTGCTAGATAACGATGCTCTGAATACTTGAATAAATAATAAAAATTAAAAATTCAATCGTAAGAGTGACAAAAAGATCTTGAACAAAGCGAAAGAAGAATGATCCATTTTAATTAATTGCCGTGCCCAAAATACTCGATTGATAAGAAATCTTCGAATAGCGAATACTACACTAGAGAAAAGAGAAAAATACCCGAAAAATTACGGAATTTTCACGTATTCGTGGGGTGACCTTGGTTTTCAGGAGAAAATACTGTAAGTTCCGTAAGAATTTTCGTATAGCGAGCAGGAATTTTTACGAAAGTTTCAGGACAATTTTACGGTACCTCCAGTACTTTTTCCCGAAAAGCAAGGTCATCCTACAAATACGTGAAAGTTCCCTAGCTTTTCGGGTATTTTTCTCTCCGTGTAATAACAAACGATGCGATAGGGGCACTCTAATTCAATTTTCTATAAAATCCAGAAAAAAAATGTATTTATTTGGAATTGAGGTGGGTTCCCAGCTCAACCAACAAGTTGAAAATTTGAATCGATTAAAATTCCAACTGAACTCAACCCCTCGCACTCAGCCCATCTCTTTTGAAGATATCAACGATCGAAAGCCATTCACATAACTCTTCCACCGCAAATATATTTAGCCGTTCAAGAAGAGCGAGGCCCGCGCACTAGGGACCGTGCGTCATCTTCTCTAGGTTCAACGACATCCTGGAGTTCAATCGAGCCACCACCGTCGGCATTTCCCCCGAAAATCAACGAAGGGGTCTACCAAGAAGCGAGAATCACCCCAAATATTTTCCATCCTGGATTACTTTGTCCTCCGTTATTCCCTCGTCTAATTTCTCCAGGTAATCTACACGTCATTCCTAGACGACCAAGACGACAGTTTGATTTCTGAAATTTCTAGGGGAAGCCATCCACTACGAAGTCTCAGCGCAAATTTTTCTCTCGTCAATTCGAGGTGCGCGCGGTCAAAGAGAATTCTCAATGCTGAATTCCTCCGATCAAACGGCAATTCTGCAACAAAATTGGGCTGCCATTTTCACTCTGCGAGCAGCCACGTGGCCAATTGATCTGGTAGAACTTCAATCGCAGAATCCAACAGCCAGCAAAACGATAATCACGTGTTTATCATTAGCACGAGCAGCAATACGCAAACTCCAACTGGATGAAATGGAGATTTCGTGTTTGGAAACTTTTGTTATTTGTCGTCCAGGTGAATTGCTTAATCTAATCAGAGCCAATTAAGAAATTATTTCCACAACATCTAGAATTGCTGAAAACAATGCCTGCTGTTTACCAATTAATGAGTAATCAATTACCGATAAAAAGACTGTTATTCTGGATTATTTACTGTTCAATCACTGGAACAAGTATTTAACATTCCAATATACATAATTGCTTCAGAGTTGGCCGAAACTGTGGAGGGACTTGGTGCAATGAGCGCAGCAAGAACTAAAGCATTAGAATCTCTGATTAAGCATCACCAAGAGCGAGAGAACAACAGCCATCGCCTCGCAGAAATTCTCCTTATTCTTCCAATTTTATTCACCTGCTGCAGCAAAGAACTAGCTTCTGCTCTGTTCGCCCCAATAATCGGCGAAGTCGCTCTCGACAGAGTCATCGCTTCGATTCAATAATCAGAATAAACATGTACCGAGCTATGAAATCAATAAACTGATAGCCCAACTCTCAGCGTTTGTTTCTAATCTACCGATAACAATTGAACTAAACATGTCGTTTAGGCATTGTACGAATGTTTAATGCAAACTGTATTGATTGGAAATTAATGGAGCTTACAAATTCTCGATAATTCATTCATGAGGCTCTATTCATTCAAAGGCATTGGCATTGGATTCAGAATGGTGGACAAGTTGATTAGATCACTTTTGGCTTTTTCGATTATCCAACCCGTCGTTTGGTCAACGGTTTCGATAACGAATGGTCTTGGCTGGGGCAAGAGCATCTTCGCGAGTGAAGAATGTAAGTAGCGAAAATACTTAGAGATTATTAATCAATGGTTTTGATCGCCTGACGTTTAGGCAGAGAAGAACGACAACCGGTGGTGGAGTCTTACCGCCACGATGGAATGCAGTATCTATTTTTCTCGCAACGTGTCACATGGGAGGAAGCCAGAATGCTCTGCCGAAGCTATAACTCTCGATTGGCACTCCTCGATACGATGGAGAAGGCATTGGGTGTGGCACGATCGATAGCTGAATCCAACATAGGTTAATAGTGATTGGTCTTGATTACATCACAGAGATTTTGCAAAATAACTATTAACAAAGCAAAATCTGAAGTCACTCCCGAATTTCTGTCCAATGGTACAAAGCGAAGTTTTATCCTGAAATTATGGGAGTGCCCAGTTTTTCATCAAGTTTTTTCTTCTTACGGTTCAATGATTTCTTTATTTTTCGGTCAGTTATGGAGGACACTTGGCTCGGAGGAAGGAGAATCGACTTCGTGTGGTACTGGATTGATAAGGAAACTGGTCCGTGGAGGAATGAAATTTCCATGGAGCCTAATGTCGAGGATTACCCGCCGTGGAGTCGAGAGCCAATTAGACCGACTAAAGAGTGTCTTGGTATTGATCGAAGCTCACACGAACATCCAAATTTCATTGATATGGATTGCAGACTTCAGAGGCCCTTCATCTGCGAGAAAAGTAGATTGATCTGTAGAGAGGACATTTTGTGGTGTTTGTTGACGTTTTCATTCGATTTTCAGACGCAGGAGAGATTATCAGCAGTCCCGTTCCATCAAAATGGATTCAGATCAATCGGAATACTTATGTTTTGTATCATGGAAGGGTGACTTGGCCTGAAGCGGCAACATTTTGCAGGACCAAGGGGGCACGACTTGCCATCCTCAAAAATTCTATGATCATTAATATTCTCACGAATAGCATGACGAAGACTAGGCCAGGTATGGCACGTACCTACACAGCTTTCTATTATCGATATCAATTATAAACCTATCTGATTATAAGTCATGAAAAATGATTTCTGTTAGACTTTGAATCAGTTTGGATTGGTGCTTATCATTCGTACGGCCAATGGGTTTGGATGGCGACGGGATCAGTTCTCAATTCCCTGACTGATGAAGGTGGCTATCCGCCTTGGAGATTCGGTCGTCCGGAGAAGAACAACGGATGCTTATTACTGGACAGACACATTGAAGACAACTCCACATTTGTGGAAGCTGCTTGTGACCGCAAGAGAGACTTCATCTGCGAAGAATGTACTTTTCAAAAATATCCTTTGTGTGTTCTATCATTCCACGGTTTCTTTATCACTGATAATATCTTTTAGATTCAGATGATGAAGAAGGCGATTGGATGGACGAACCCGCCAAGTTCTCATACGAGAACAACTCGTACATTATCTATCCAATTTACAAAACGTGGATGGAGAGTAGAGATTTTTGCAATGAAAGAGGAAGTGTTCTGGCTTATGTGGAGCATATAGACATTGTCAGTCTGATTATTGAAGCAATGGGGGATCATCCGAGAGAAATTGCCCATGTGTGGTTGGGGGGAAAATATAACATGACATTGGACGAGTGGCGGTGGATAGGAACCGGTGGAAAAATTCTCCGAGAAAAAGACAATTCCGGTTTTCCTCCCTGGACTCATATTGATGGAGAAATCGAAACAGATTTAGACAGCACCATTTGTCTAAATTTGGACAGAACTGACCACGTCAAGCCTCACTTCTACGGACTTGACTGCAGCAGCAAGCAATCCTTTGTTTGCAAAATAAGTGAGCAACATACGTCACAATTAATAACAATTCAAATTGATTGTTTTTTAACAAACGGGTGTTACCCGCCTGTGGCAGTTCTATTGAATTGTTGTAATATCAACAGGACATAATAAAGAGAACTAACTTATTGTATTTACAGCATGCGACATACCCCCACCGATAGAGGATGGCAAGTGGACCTGCAGTGAAGTTATCGACGGTCGACAATGTCTCTTGGACTGCGACAATGGTCTGATCATGACAGGAATTAAGAATGTTACCTGCACGTTTCAAAACGGCTGGACATCTGGAAATAATCCGATGGAATTTCCACTGTGTCTGCAACCAAAAGCGTTCGCCACAAGAATGATAAGATCTCTAAGTCAAGACATCCAAAAGAGCTCTGGATATTATCTCCTGTTGGATCATTCATCATCCGGATTGAAGCCTATTCTCATGGAATTCATTGAACGCATCGTTACCTCATTTCCGTATATTAAAATCTAATTATCATTCCTCGGAATGTTTTATTTTTTTTTAATATTCCGGAATGAAATCTGATAAAATGATCTTTACAGAGCCTCAAGGAATTTGAAGTTTGGAATGACAACATACCTGACCAATCCTCCAACTCATTTGCCATTCAATCAGACAGACAAGTGCGCAGTGATTTCAGCAATTCGATCATTGCAAAACAATGCGCTTGACACTAAACCCGCAGCTGTAAACATCAGTACAATTCAAAAAGACATTTCGATTTACAACGGCCGCAGAATATCGATAAGTTAGTCATCCAGCCTTGCATCGTAGTAGTGTAAAAAAAACCACTGTTCAGGGTCAATTATTAATTCATATTCCAGTTGCGGTAATGGATTCAAAGCGTGGAGCTGCTTACGCAGATGCTCTCATGCAATTTAAAGCAGTGGGGCATCACATTATTGTTGTTGCACTCAGGGAGGACGCTGAGGCACTCCTACCTTTAGCAACCATTGGTTTCGATAGGAGAATTAATTTGTTTTTGTTCGAAGAGGCTGAACTAGCAGCTGTCGCAAACGAGATCAAGAGTAAATAGCGAATTCCTGAATATATTATCCTCTAGAATGAAACGAAAGTGGATAATTCGAATGGATATTTTCAGGGCACGAGAGAAAACGATCTAGATGCTCGGACAATACTAAAACTGACTCAACGACAGTGGGAATCAACATTCCTACAGTCGAATACCACGGAATTACCGAAACGAATCGATACGATACGATTCCATCAGAATCAAAGGAGGAATCCTCATCACTCGCCCCTAATCTAAAAACCGAGGAGCCAGAAGACGATACCTGGAAGTTGGTACCTCATAATCCCTTGACAGAGTCAACAGCGAAACGTGAAACTGAGTTCGATGAGGAAGAAGAGTCCTAACTCTCTCAATGATTATTTTCTTTGGCACTTTATTAACGTAACAAAGTACGAAGCTATGTACAATAATCTTAGAGTAATATGGCGTGTCAAATTGCAAATCTTAAACAATAAAAAATGCCGCAAAGAGAATGACACGTCGAGGTTTGTATGGTGAGGTGTGAGAGTTAATAAACAGTTAGAAGTACATTGTACCGAAACTTAATTCTAAATTAGAAAAGTGCCTCAATTTTATGAGACGCTATACTGTAAACAACAGTTTCAATGCCACTTACATTAATCTGAATAAAATCTTTGATATTCTCTCTCAAAACTGGAAGTCCTGTGAATTTACTCCTTAAAACCGATCAATTCGTTGTTCAAACGCTACATAAATACAAGAATTAATCTTTGTTGGATACATAGCACCCATAAAATTCGTTATTGCACCACGGATTACAAAAAACCGTAAATGTGTTTTTATCATAAAATAAACATCAAAGAATGGTAATTTCCAGTGTTTCTGAGGGGGAAAAAATATTAAAAATTGACAACCCGTTTTACACGAGAATTTACATACTGAGAATAATCTTACAATACTCTGTCATATCTTAAGACTGGCAGAAAGGCACGAATAATTCGTAATGACAAAAAATAATTCGTTGGATTATTTCTTCCTGTACTTGCGATACCGCTCCTCTTCGTATTGCCTCCGCAACTGGCCAATTAAATTACTAGGCACATCCCACAGTTTATCCATATTAATGAGCAATGCCTCTGTCACTTGACAGCAAACAGCGGCCATATTTACCTGAGCACTCAAATCAGTACGATCACGTGGATAAATGTATCTCGGGGGAAATAATGAGGGTGCAACGATCATAGCTACATTGTGAATTGACATTTTGTTTGAGCTCTGATTCTCCACGACTAATTGGAAGAATGTTAATAATTCTTTGAGGGTACAGCGGTGTTCCACTGGTAACAGTAGTACCAGAAGATTTAACGCATAGGATAATTCATTAGGACTCTTGACACCTGAAACAACAAATAACAATGTGATAAAATTCTGTGGGGAAATTATGAAGTGAAATAAATGGAATTTAGCCGTTTTGGTCAATATCGACTGTTCCCCGATAAATTGATAGTAATGAAAAAATATTTAATGTTACTTATCTCACTTGACCTTTTCGTTAATGAATATGTTATGACGTTAGTGATTTGTCTTTAAACTCGGAACCTACCATGACTTTGATAAAAGGCATCAATAAGCTCAACCGTTAACAGTGGCTGTGGCAAATCCCTCAACAACTTCTTCAGCACAGCTGACAAGTCGTGACAAGGACTGCGTTGAAACAACTTATCAATCTCCTTAGGTTTACTATAAAAGTCCGTCTCCAATTCACTGCACAGTGACTCCACCTTTTGTTTATGGCCACCCACTCGAAGGATACCCTCCTCCTTGACCCCACGCCTCGTCAATTCATTCAATAATTTTTGAAAAACCAGAGGAATGTTACTCTCTTCATTAGTCAACTGACTATCTCGAAGTAACAGCGTGGACAACGAAACACCGAATAAATTTCCAGCTAAAAATAAACGTCAAACCGTCTCACAAATTCCTGACCAAACCACAAGACAACAAATCATACATGAATAAATTGAGTATTTACCTTTACGTCTGCGTTTATTTGGCTTGCGTTTAGTGAGTGGTACATTGTATTTATCGAATACCGATGTTAATTCAAGCCACAGAAGTGGCTGCAGCCTCATGATGTCCCTTTGGGACATCATCTCAACTCTTTGACGATCACCATCCTTATCATTATCCTTATCCTCCAAATCTTCCCAATCACCACTGGCAGTTTCATTAGCTCTGCACATCTGTTCGAAACTCAAATGTCCATGGGAGGACGTACGACTCAACGGTCTCGTTATCAGGGTATCGCATGGCCTCGTTAATCCGTACAAACTGCTGTGACTCCTTGTGACAGTTGCATGACTGCCGGCATTACGCCTGAGAGTGGAGTCTTTGCTACCGGATATTTTTCCAGGTTTGACATCCAAATCAGTGGTACTGGCAACTTCACTGGGATCACTGCCACTTCGCCTCTGGGGTCTAGCAATATGAATAGTACCAAGTCTGTGAAAGCCAGTGAGTTGAATTCCCTCAGAATCACAGGCAATGTCACCTCGGTGAGACCAGTGATGTCCAGCCCTTCTAAATATCTCTTGCATTGGAAGTGGTGTGGGTGCTACTGGATTTTGTACCGCAGTGGGAGCACTGGGTAGCCTTCGAACACTCTCCTTCTCATTCGGATTCTTCGAGTGAGAGTGAAAGATCGAGACAAAACTTGGCACAGTAACATGTGAATGATGACTCTCGGTAACACTAACACTTGGTGGTGATGGCGGTGATGCACTGTCCGCTGTCTCACCCGATACAGAGTCTAATGAGTCTGGTGTAGCACTGCGTGATCTTGTCCCAGTGCTGGACACCTGCAAGACATTGTCCTTGATCATGCTGTACCGAATAAAAGATCGACTTGTTCCCTAGTCAATTATTTGGGGAATATCTCTGAATATATGCCACATAGTAAAATTTAAATCAATTGGTTACTCAATGGTAATGAATATCAATCTTACTTCAACGTCTTTAAAAACATCTCTGATGTCTGGTTTTCTCGCTCTTGTGCGCTGATTGAATCGCTGTTTAACCGTATGATTGAGAGATCTCACTCTACGTTTGACAGCTTCAGCTTGTGCACGAGAGAGTGGACGAAGTGCAGCACCTAGTTCGTCAGGTTGAATTTCCCTACCTGCTTTCCAAGGCTCTGTTAACTCACCCAGACCAGCGGCTCTCAACCACTCTGCTTCCTCTTCCCCCTCTAAAAATCCACGTTGTAAAAATTTATCTATGAATCATTAGCCTAATGGCACCTCATACCGTCATAACTACGTGGACTGCACTCCTCATCGAGGTAATCGTCCAGCATTTTCGTTTCCTCCATCATCTTCTGGTAGGCCTCCCAGTACTCGTGGAGCTGTGCCTCACCACCACTGTACGTCATACCATGTGCACGTTCCATATTGACTTGCACAAAATAACCGATACCCGTTTATGATCAAAAGTCGAAATATCAGTTTAACAGTAATTCACTCGACTGACATCGTATTTCGACGTTGGGCGCTCGTTAAATCGTTAATCCTGAAAATTTTTTAATAACCACCTGATAATTCAGGTAAGATAAGCCGACTAATTATCGTTAATGATAGCATATCACGATTCAAATCAACACTCGTCGAAATTACAAGCGAGAAATAGGAATTCGTTAATTGAAAAATCATAAATACACTCAATCTCCCCTTTGTTCCTCAATAAATAAAATAATCAATGAGATAGTGTGAATAAACAATCACCTCTCCCCCCTCAAGGAAACGATAATAAACAATATCCCACTGCGTTAGAAATGGTAATGTATTTGGAGCGAACGAGTTGAATAATTGTTGTGTATTTGTTTTGCATCGAGTGGGAAAGAGGAGGAAAAAAAAATTCGAGACGTCATGTAAATTGTTGCGAAACCTAACCTCGCTGTTTGACAGATATACAACAAACTGAGGAGCCTCTCAACACCTCTTCGAACTCACCATTATGAATGAAGGCCAAATGTTTATGAGTGAGATCGGTATACACCGCTGCTAGGCAACTGAATGACGTGTACACCAATTGAAAGTAAGTCGTTTATTATGTTGTTTTTTTATTGCAGGTAAAACATAAACACAACAAAGCTGGCGAAAAAGTAATGCGCAGTGACCATTGGAGGGCAGATACATGAATGAAATTTGTCTATTCTCAAAAGCCAATGTGGTTTAACAGAGAAATATTAATGGAGTCTATGATCAAGCCATTAAGAATGCATTATAAATTCTGAACAGCGCCCACAACGATGAGATATTGCGATACGTCTAGCATTTACCCTATTCATTCCGTATTCGGTTAAATGCTGAGTGCGAGAGGATAATGAGATGATCAATTTGCAATTGATAAATTAATTATATTTTCAGTGTTATAAATTATTTATCGTGTTAAACTCACAGTCATGAAGACGCGACAGTCGTTCCTCGAGGTCGCCTGACCACCACCTGTTGGCTGCCGTATTTTTCAGGCGCAAAATATACGAGAGAGCACTGGTTTTTTTGAGTGGAGGGAATCGTCGAGATTGTGTTGTATACGGAAGACTGAGGATCTCTAAATTGTTGGGTGTGTGGGTTCAGGGAAGACAGTCATGTCATTCACCAAGAGATGGCCTTAGTTGGTCAGTTCTGATTAATTGATTTGGGGATGATAACAGAGATTACGTCCTATAATCTCTGATGATAAACAATCCTATTTCTAATGTTGCTAATACGAAATCGTATTATGTTTAAAACATTTTGAATTTGAAAAATTTTTCCGCTCCGCCTGTCCCTAAGTAAAATTTCTTCAAAAATTCGCAACCTATATGATTTGCCGCAAGGATTCCCAAACTTTTCCGATTTTTGGAATTCTGACATTTTTTGAATTTTCAAAATACCGCACATCGGTATTTTCAGAATGAAATCTAGAAAAAATAAATAATTGATCGATGATCGCAAATTTTCGGACGATAAACCTGTCCTTTAACATATACGAGATCTACTGCGCATTCCGTGCGCCGAATTCGAATTTCGACTTCGAATTCGAGTTGACCAATAAGGAATCAGTCTTACGAGTATCGACTCAGACGAACTTCATTTACATATCTCTGCTTTCATGATAAGGAAGAAGAAATCCTTTTTCTATCGAAAGATATTCAGAGTTGCAGATTGTTAACAATTTTCATAAATATTGTCCATTCTTGGTCCACTCTCATTTCGATTTTATTAATCGAATATTGAATATCCTATCGATATCCGAATAATGAATTCTCATCGTTAATCTCGTCAATTCTATCTAGAACAACCTAAGCACAAAAAACGAAATATGCCACAGTCGAGAGATATATACCTCTAATCAGATTTCGAAAATAGTTAAGGTCCATCGAAACGAGAGAAAAAAGTGATACTAATGTATCTACCACAAGGAAAACTATACCCGTCTGTTCTCGTCGACGTCGATATTGTCTCGACGGCTTCCAAGCCGGCTCGACGCCAAAATCAGCTCAGTTGCTTTCCGGTCGGTGTTTTATAAATACTGCAGACAGACGAATAGTGTACCCTACAGAGTCAGCATCGTTCAAAGCCCCTATCATTATGAAGAGAGAAATTATCTTAACCAATGTCGTAAATAAAATCAAGTGAAATAATCTCAGTAGCAGATTGTATTCATTTTCACAACTTAATCGGCAAATTGTCCACTTCGCTGAACCGATTTGACCAGTTCTTTTAAATTTGTGATTGTGCTAACATTTTTCGATTGCGCTCAATTACTCAATTGAGGAAAATGTGAAAAATTTCCGTTAAGAATCTGTCGAAAACTGCATAATGTGAATTCCAGATGATAAATCGATATTACCATCTTGGATATCTCTGCAGGTAGGTTTCCGTAGTTTGTCAATTGTTACGAAACGACAATCACTCTACTTCAAATTCCCTTGTTTCGTTCTTCTCATTATATCCCCAAGAAATATAATCAAGTCAAAATTCCTGGCCACTCATTACTCAAAGTGGGGAAATTATATGCGACTTGGGATGATGGTGCAATTCCCTTGGCAGTGATCAGGGATTAGACGTCGATCTGGTTCGGTGAATGCAGTATTTTTCAATTGCGAAAGCTGTCGATTGAAGAGCAATGCATGAATCGAATACTTTGTCACTTCCTTGCAGGTAGTGATTCGGAAATCTCATGATCCAATCGAAGACTAAGTGGGTCAATGAAAACGAAAACAGAATTGGAATAAACAAATAAATAAATCTCACAGATAATGTTGCCTGTATTCGGGATAAATCGGCTGAAGGAAAAATGTAGACTTGTTATTTATACTACCCATAAAGTTCTCTTGAAATTCATCAACTGCGATAAAATTTATAATTTCCAGAAGTGAAAAGAGGAATAAACCAGAGGACAAAGCCACCAAGAGGGCGAAGACACCGAGACATCACTCACTCTACAGGCCACGACGATGACTCGATCATCGGAGCGTTAATTCTCGTGATCCTGGAGTGCGGTGCCCTTTGGCAGCTATCCAACGATTCCGTTTAGATATATCAGCGATGATCGCAGAATGACATTTGTTAACAAAAAACGTGAGACAACTTGAAGTTCCCAGAAAGCTCAAAGGAAATCACAACAATGAGTAACTTGTCCAAGAAATCCATTAGTGGATCCATCCACAGAATCCGAGAATTCGAATTAGAAAAGGTACAACTCATTGCCCCTGTTCACAACAATAATCCATTGGTCGTAAACCAAAAATTCTCTTCCGACTAACGACGTAATCTTGGCTAGAGTTGTTGGAAATACCCGGAAATATCTGAGAGTGAGCATTACAGACACCTCGAGGCCACAATAAACTCACAAAGACATGATTGTTCAAATAACAAAATACCGATAAATCCTTAAAACGGGTTTCCAGATTACATTCAAGAATGAAAATCTGGGATATCCAGAAATAGTATCACTTGCAAGCATTTACGTACGTGAGTAACGGTGCTAGGTACCTATTTCTGGCATTAAATCCAATCTGTACGGTGAAATTTACCCAATCTAATTATACTACTGCTACCATTGTAATAAACTCCAACAATTCTTTATAATTTATCAGTTTTTGGTACTTTTCGATCGGATTAATGCGATCATATCTGAAAATCACCCGTCTACTTGCAAGAATCAACCCCCATCGCAATATCAGTCTTACAAATCATAGAAATCATAGAATATCAGAATCGCGAGACGAATGAACACAAAAAATAAATGATACGAGGGTTTTAACGACTTGTCAACTGTTGAACGAGATTCAAACGATATCTCGTGTAAGCGTGGAAAAAGTTTGACGTATCGCGGTCGCTTTCTTCGTCAGTCCAGTCGCTGCACATGCTCGAACAGTAACAAAATTAAAAATAGCTTTCGTGGAGTAGTGAAACACAGATTCTTGAGTCACAGATCAAAGTGGGATACTGAAGAGGGGGATGCGTGAAAAATATAAAAGATTATGGGACACAGTGGAATCAGATATGCCAGTGGCATCATCATGACCACTGAACTCTGTATGAATCTCTCGTGTCTCCAGGTTAATCTTGCTGAGGAGTTCGATATCCTGCAGATTGTTGGTGAAGGATGGTTCGGAAAAATACTCCTTACCGAACACAAGAGCACCCAGACGGAAATGGTGTTGAAGGCATTACCGAAGGCTTACACAGCAATCACAGACTTTTATCGAGAATTTCATTACAGTTTGCATCTATCGGCTCATCGAAATATCATCACTACGTATGACGTTGCCTTCGAGACCGCTGGATTCTACGTTTTCAGTCAGGAATATGCGCCTCTCGGTGAGTTCAAGTGAATATTCTTGTATCATATTGCAGGAGAGAAGTCATGCCTTTTTATATTCACTTTGGAATCTGTACTTTGGATTTGTCTTTGCTCAGGTGATTTAACTGCTAATGTTTCTGAAACTGGTCTCGGTGAGCTGCATGCAAAACGTGTTGCAAGGCAGTTGGCAGCTGCAATCCATCATATTCACAGTCGTGAACTCGTTCATCGTGATATTAAACTCGATAATGTGCTAGTGTTTAAAAGTGACTTTTCAAGGATCAAATTATGCGATTTTGGGGAGACGAGGAAGGTCAATACGGTTGTTCGAAGGCATAACGAGTGGCTACCTTATTCACCGCCCGAGGTCCTGAGGGTTGAGCCTGAAGAGAATTACAAGTGAGCGATAATTTCAATATGCGATTTCTCTAATTTATCTTGGATCGGACTCGATAGGAAAAAATAATCTTTTATTCATTTTCCTTAGCCGATCCATGTTCATGTTGCAATGAACGCTCTATTTACACATGGAATCGTACAGAATTCAAATTCTGATAGATTTTCATGGCTTTGTTGTTACGTTTGATGATTTTCAGAGCCTTAACAGCCCACGATGTGTGGCAATTTGGAATTGTTCTGTTTGTTTGTTTGACCGGATGTCTGCCATGGCAGAAAGCTGCCCTGGACGATAGGAGATACACCAGGTACCTGAATTGGCATTCGGCCATGCTGAAAATTGCGAAGAAGCCGAAGTTGTTTCAGCTCATAAGCTCGAGGGCGCAGACCATGTTTTCCAGACTGCTGGAGCCAAAATTGGAAAAACGCCCAGTAAGTGTTTTGGAGGTCAACAAATACGTGGACGACCGATGGCTGGGAAAATTGGGAGCAGAGAAGGCATTGAATGGTACATGGACCGTTTTTCAATCGTTTTTCTATGAGATTTTATTACTGTCCACGGATCGAATATATGTATCAATTAGTAATATTGGATTTAAAAGTTTTCCTCATTTTTAACCTTCAGGTGGTGCAGACGAGAGGGACGAGCTCTGTGCCTCCATGTACAGTTTCCACAGTTCTCTGGAAGAGAAAAATCAACTCCTCTACACCCTAACCCGCTACGGAATTGAAACAACCGTGGACAGAGCCAAGAAGAAAGACAGAATCCGCGAGTGGATCCAAGCAAGCGCCATCGTCGAGGAGAATGAGGACGACGATTCAATCCTTGAGGAGCTCGATAAAATTCACGAGAACTCAGAAGACGACGAAGCAAACCTGAAAGGCAGGCACTTTCCAGAGAGGAGACCTAGCATAAAGAGTTCAACATCAGAGAGGCCAATTGGAAGTACTCAGGCGAAGACGAATGATAAAAATGGAAGTGAGGAAAAACGTCACCGAAAATCTCGGTCTACTCATCGACCCTCCCTCAAGAACATAGAGCGACGAAATCCCTTCGCTCCTCAAGTTGCTAGGGAGATGCAGACAATTGCAAGATTTTCGAGTTTCCCAAATGGAGATCCCAATTTCAGTATCAACACCAGTCACTCCTTGCCATCATTGCCAATGGGAGTGCAAGGTGAAAATTTGGAACCGCTGAGGTACCCGGGGCCTCTAGGATCAATTGTTCCGCTCCAAAAGGCATCATCAGCGGCTCCAATAGTACCAAACGACGATTCAAGGCTCGACCGAACACCTTCAGTTTCGAACAGAAGCCCAAGTGTCTCAAACTCCCTCGATAATATTCCCACTCCAATCAGCTCCACCCCAGAGTCATCAAGAACTGATCTAAATGGCGCTCGGTCATCTCCACGAGCCGACAAAATTCATAATTATCATCAGAATGCTCCACAAAGCCCTCTACCACCCTCCAGACGGAATAAAACACAATCTCCTCCACAAGCTGCTTCTTCCAGCCCCAGAATGTCCCCTCACATTGAGGGGAGCATCGGTGGCAACAGAAATAATCAGAATTCTAACAAAAACCAGGCTCCAATGTCGCTCTTCGCAGGCCAATTAGTCATGCAGAGTTTCAAAACAATTCAAGGGGTGACTCAACACGCATCAAAACCAATGGCCTCTAGTTATAATAAAAAAGAGAGTAGAAGACATGAGGAGCAGGGTGCAACTGTTTACGGAAAAGACGCTTATGAACACTACGGAGTGGCTCAGGGAGCCATCAGACAGCAGTCCAGTAGAAATGGAGGATCGCCAGGCAGTGGGAGATCCGTTAGCAATTGATTTTTATGCTTCTTCATTATGACTCGATGTAAATTACTCGAAATGGGACCAGACAGTGACGACTACTTGATTTTTTTTCCACATACGTAGATGGAAATGATACCGATTATATGAACGACAAGGGAAATTTTTATCGCTGTCAGAAATTTGGAATGTTTATTCTGCTTCCGGCGTCTTCTATCGATTGTTATTCTTTGGTTCGAAAATATTCGAATAACTTTTCTACATTTAAAATTGAATGGAGCATGCGAGACTCACCAGTGATGTAAAGCCGAATCGTGGAAATCACCTATTATCACTCCTTTGCCGAAATATCACTCGTCCTCTTAAAAGCCAAAAATTGATCAACACTTTTAAACACAACACATTTTTTTCTTGAAAAACTGTAATCCACTCACTGACATTTACTCACTCCCGGTATTCGAAAAATTAGGTTTATTATTATTATGATTATTAACTTTACTGATGCAAAGCATTGTACATGGTTAAATGTGCGAATTTGTCACAATTTGTTAAAATTTGGAATTCGAATTTTTCAATAAAGGATTTGGCCGTTATGGCCTCCCTGACTTCAAACCCTTCGTTCTTGTAATCCTTTGTCTCTTCACTCGACAGTCGACACTAACGCCACCACAATTTTACTAACGACCAAAATTTTAATGAATTATTTACATGATTTCAAAGGATTATGTAGAGAAAACAATGACTTGAGGATCGAAACAAAGGAATAAAATATTCTGGATCACTTTATTTGCTGACTGTTGTCCGTTTTGTGTCATTTTTCCCGCTCGTGTAATTTTACCGTTCGATCTCGCACAGATGCTAATATTGAGATTTTATGGATTATTCACGTGATTCGGAAGAATTATTTGGGAAGAAAAGTGACTTGGGGATCGAAACAAAGCAATAAAACATTCTGGTTCACTGTATTTGCTGACTGTTATCTGTTTTGGATCGTCTTTGCGACTCGTGTAATGCCACCGGTCGCGCAGAGATGCTAATAATGAGATTTTATTGATTGTACACGTGATTCGAAAGGATTATATGGGGAAAATAATGACTTGGGGATCGAAACAAAGCAATAAAACATTCTAGCTCACCGTATTTGCTGACTGTTGTACGCTTTGTACCGTTTTTCCAACCGGTCGTCTTTTTGCGCGGGACGATGACTTTGCAGGCGCCGCCATCTTGTGTTCGTAGCGTTGACTCCCGCCCCTCTGACTTACCGACGCGCTAAAATTTAACCTACAATCCACCCAGTGATTTTCCGGTCATTTTGCCATGAACTCCCAACAATAAATAAATAATTCATTCATCGTGAAATGAATATACGAGCGATGACTGACAGTGCGATAATAATCATCGGGCGTCCCGCAAAGTCCCGATTGTCTCACTGAAACTTAAGACTGCTGTCACTCTTTTACCCGGTTGATCCCGAGATTTAGTCCGCAGTGCTCATTGTTGTGATAGCCGTAAAATTCCTGTGATTGATATTATTAATTTTGATTGTTTCTAAGATGAAGTGCGATTTTTGAGAAATAAGAAATTTAGAAATTAGAAAAAATGGCTGGGGGTTCGTTGGAGTCCGGAAGTACCTATCATCCACTGGGGAACAGCAGAGAAAGATGCTACTGGATTGCACATATAAAGCTGTCGAGAATAATCATCTTGATCGCTTTTATTCTGTTTATTGTTCCTCTCTTCACGCATTATTATTTGTCACAGGTAAAAAAATTTAATTTCAGTGACTGACTGAATTTATGTATACTATTAAAACGTTTTTACATAAATTTTACCAATTCGAGACACTTCTTTACTAATTCTCTCAATTGGATAAAATTGTTTTTCTTCTGCGAGTTATTCTGACCGTGAAATGGCACGATCCCGATACGATATCACAAAGTTTCTTCTTAGGCTATCAATTCAATCAAGTCGGTAATCTCTCCCACGGACATGCGTAAAATAAGGCCCACAAAATATTTGGACAAAATGTTGAACCCCATTTCTTCATTTCCCTTCAAGGTGGAGGCAGAATCCCCAATGATGGATATTCACCGAACGCGTTCAAAGTTGGAAGCATTTGAGGACTTCACTTCAATGAAAGCTTCAGATTTGAAATCACGAATTGAGGAGATGCTCCGAATAAAGGTATCAGTGAGTAACGAGCTTCGAGACCTCGAGGCAAAACGCCAAAGGCTCCAGATGGAAGTAAACGGTTTTACCCAGAAGATAGACGACTTGAAACAGGAGCTCCTCCACCAGCAAACGGATCTGGACCGCTTGAAGATGAGTGTCGTCCAGGCACAAGCAGCTCAGCGTGAAGCAGTGGAGAGAAACACCCCTGAACTCGCCCCTCCAAAGCGAATCCTGATGACCTCACCCCCTGCAATTGTCCCCAGCACTGATCCATATTCCTGCAAGATGTACAACTGCTTCGATCACAGCCGCTGTGCTCTGACCAGTGGCTTTCCCGTCTACCTCTACGACCCAGATCTCTTTTCAATAATAAATCCAGGCTGGGACGTCGACGGTTTCCTCCGCACCACAATCAAGCAAACACTGGGATACAATCCCCATTTAACATCCAATCCAGCTGAAGCCTGTATCTACATCATTCTAATCGACGAGCTTCTCCCTGTCGACTCAACTCGGGCCCAGGGCTTTAAACACCCTCTGGACATTGTCAAACTTCATTCCCTTCCCTACTGGGGTGGGGACGGACGAAACCACATCCTCCTGAATTTAGCACGAAGAAATTTGACCTTAGCGTCTGGAAATACCTTCGCCAATGTTGACACAGGCCGAGCAATTCTTGTCCAGTCAACATACCGTAGAAATCAATATCGCGAGGGATTTGATCTCGTCGTACCACCGATATTGGGACCCCCCGGTGGAGATATATGGCAGGAGTGTGCACAGATGGTGCCAGCGAGGAGAAAGTACCTACTGTCCTTTCAGGGAGAAATGAAGAGCTCCAGGTCGAATCCAACAACGAGTCAGATTGATGATGCTGAGATTGACCTAGCGAGACTCGCTGAGGACGAGAATAATCTCGATAGCTTTATTATTCAACATCTCAAGGAAATGACAAGCGGAACGACCATGGACAAGTTTTACCTGCAATTCGAATGTATTCCAGCATCTGAGGAGCAAAATAATGAGGCTGTAGACTGGTATTTATGTGGCACTGAGTCTTCCAGAAAAGAAATCCTCAAGGAATCGACTTTCTCCTTGATCTTGGCACCGACGAATGCCAGTTACGTCTCCACAGCCTCCATTCAAGCCAGACTATATGAAGCTCTAAGGTCTGGAGCTATTCCTGTCATCCTGGGTGGCGATCAAATTGTCCTGAGTTACAGTGAGGTCATCGCTTGGAGGAGAGCTGCCATACTTCTGCCAAAGGCCAGAGTCACAGAGATGCATTTTCTACTTCGTGCCATCCCTGATAATGATCTTTTGGCTATGAGAAGACAGGGGAGACTCATTTGGGAGAGGTACATGGGCACAGCCCAGGGGGCCATGGACACTATAATTGCCACGGTGAGGGACAGACTGGGAATTCCTCCTCTTCCTGCTACTCAATCTCCCAGTCCTAGTGTCTTCAATGAGTCTTTTATTCCTTTGAAATCGGATACTATTATTTCTGAACCCGAGGCAGAGGAGAGCCTGGGACCGCTGGAGCCTCCATACCCCTCACCAGCATTCAAACGAAATTACACGACCATGTTCATTCATGGACACGAGATTTGGAATGACTGGGTCAATCCATTTAATCTCTATCCGCAGTTACCGTTCGATACGGTTCTACCTAGCGATGCGAAGTTCATTGGGTCTGAGGTGGGCTTTAGACCCATTGGTAAAGGAGCTGGAGGCGCTGGGAAGGAGTTCAGTGAAGCTCTTGGGGGAAATCACCCCAGGGAACAGTTTACCATCATCATGCTGACTTACGAGAGGGAGCAGGTGTTGATTAATTCATTGGCACGACTCTATGGGCTACCTTATTTGAATAAAGTCTTGGTGCTCTGGAATAGCCCCAAGCCGCCGATGGAGGACCTCAGGTGGCCCGAGATCGGTGTCCCCATTGTTGTGATCAAGGCAGCTAGGAACAGTCTTAATAATAGATTCTTGCCTTTTGATTCTATTGAGACGGAGGCTGTACTATCGGTCGATGACGATGCCCATTTGAGGCACGATGAGATTATGTTTGGCTTTAGAGTGTGGAGGGAGCACAGGGATCAGGTCGTGGGTTTCCCTGGGAGATTTCATGCTTGGGATCAGAATTATCACAATGCCTGGAACTATAATTCGAATTACTCTTGTGAGCTGTCGATGGTTCTTACTGGTGCTGCATTCATTCATAAACATTATACGTATCTTTACACTCATTGGCTGCCACAGGCCATCAGGGATAAGGTCGATGAGTATATGAATTGTGAGGATATTGCCATGAACTTTCTCATTTCACATTTGACGAGGAAACCACCGGTGAAGGTGAGTTAGATGGGCTTATCGAGTTTTGGGCGAAATAAATGAGATTCGATTTAACTTTGTTTAATTTAATTGGATTATCTATGTTGTAATCATGCGCAGGTGACCTCCAGATGGACCTTCAGATGCCCTGGATGTCCAGTATCACTTTCTGAAGACGACACTCACTTCCAGGAACGCCATAAATGCATCAATTTTTTCACTCAAGTAAGAAAAAATTGTACAGAGTTTTTTGTTAACACCTCCGATTCCTCATGCAATAATTCTGGTTTTGATTTTACAGGTTTTTGGGTACATGCCACTGTTGAACACTCAGTACCGTGCGGATTCTATCCTCTTCAAAACTCGAATACCCCATGACAAGCAGAAGTGCTTCAAATTCATATAAAAAGTTAACACAATAATCATGAAACAGATACAAAAAATTCTTTTAAAAAAATGCGAAGTATTCTGCAGAAATACTCACTGAATAATCGACGCACAAAATTCATTAGAATCCCTCTCCACAATAATCATGAATTTCATGCTCTACGTACCTGTTCACCCCAATACGGGCTTCGACTGCCATTAACGTAAGTTTAAATATTCAACACTTCCGTGCCGTATGACAGCTGAAACTTCAAAATAGCCAATAAATTGAAAAAAATATAACGTCGATCATGCTTTCCATTTAACGTATCTACTGACGATGTTTTCTACTTGTTAGAAACTGATACCATAGACAAGTGATTGTAAATAGTGTGTAGAAGAATGATTACCAATATTTGTACATAAATATTCTTTTTGATAAAAAAAAGAGACATCAATAGACAACCGAGCTTTCCATCAATATTTACCAGCCACTTTTGAATAGTGACCCAATAACAATGAATATAAATTTCTTCCTTTTGATCCTTCAAAAACAATTTGCAAACAATTTACTTCCCTGAATGGCCCCGAAAAAAAAAGAATGTAACGATAATTTCAGGCTCGATGAAACCTTTTCATAAATCCCCCCGAAAAACTGTCTGCTTCTGCATTGCGGTGGGACTGCGATTGCTATAGGACACGCGGTCAGCGCCCCGTTGTCTCCCATCTCTCTTCCTCCTCCCTTCAAACCCCTTTGCCTCCCTCTCCACCTCACAACCCCTATTTTGCATGGATGATACGGGATTTGAATACATGCATGAAACATATTCGGCAAGGTAGAAGTCAAGACTCATCAAAAAGTAAAAGCTACAGAGCACACGTTCCAGTTCGCCTCGAGGGAAGAACTTCCTCATCCCCATCCCCTTAACAGCTATTATCTTCGAGAGCAATCAATCATCATCATCGAAGGTATGATAATCCTCGCGAGTGACCAGTCCAGTTTTCCCACTCCCCTTTTTACTCGAATATTTTTTTCTTCCCACTGTAAATACCACAGCATTCGCCATTTGATTGATGACATTTGGATAAACGCCAGAGAATATTTCTGGCAGATTGCACGAACTCGTTGCACACAAGTCCAACGTTTTATTAATCTTCAAATATTCATTAGGAACACGGCAAATTCACCGGAAGGTTTTTTCTACCGATAATTTCCGTTTCCTTTTTCGTTTTTATCATTCGAATTATTTGAATTCCGAAGCGAACGCGCCACCATTCGAAATCCTGCGCAGTGGCACCTGCGAATGGCTGCGAGCGTCGCGATTGGTTATTTTCTGGATCAATACGGGGTTCCCCGTGACGTAAATGCGTTTATGGTTTTTGATTCGTCCTGATTGCCTGACTGTTCCATAATTAAATGAGCTTTATCGTTCAGTTGGATTCAGAATAAAGTGATAAAATGGAGGAAAAAAATCCTCAATTTTTTCATACGTAAGACGGTACATTCCGGATGTACTTACGTTCATAGAGTCATACAACCCCATTCACCCCCTTTCAAAAGGACTCATCCACAGTCTCACGATTTCTCCCACCCCAACCCCTAGGTGCTCACGTACTCGTCGACGGCTGACGAACACGCACGAAGCTAGAACCTGACGGGGGTGTTCACTTGGAGGGCGAGCCAGTGTTCGCGCATCTCGTCAACCTCGAGACGAGGAGAGTATGGTGGGCCACACAAGCATTTTCTCTCTAAACTAGAAAAGAATACCAACTCAATACCGAGGGGATTATTTATACAATTAATTCATTGTTAAACCCAGCAGTGCGTGAAATCGATTGCAAAAGAAAACCCACCCCCCACCGAAACAACTCAAATCTTAACCCCCAAAGTATCGACAAATGTTTGTGTTCCAAGTGGTATAAACAGACGAATTTAATTTGAATACCCATCAACCGCTGATGTGGTTCAATGCAGAAGAGAACGACATAAATCAAGAGATAAGACGAGATTACGAGACTGAACCCCAAAACCTCAACCAAATATCCACCTGATCCACCAAATGCACCATCGGGATTCCACTGATTGCATAAAAGTGAAGAAAAATAATCAGAAAAGTAAAAAGTGAAAAATCGAGGATGTTTGATGTCAGAATGGCGCGCAGGGGAAGTCATTTCTAGAGTTGGTGAAGCAACCTGTCAATATCAAAAAGACACGTGCAACAGCCCCTAAAAAGTGGAGAAGAGAGAGAGCAGAGATAATAATTGTCCCTGTTAATGTGAAAAAATGCCTGAAGAAGCGTTAAGCTCAAGAAAAAGGGACGAGAAGAAGGGAAAGGTCATTTGACCAACGAACGTATCGCAGGCATCCACCAGTCTATCCCCAGGGCGTTCTGCGTCTTGTGTCCAAGGGCGTAAACTCCACCAGGCCCACAACCCCTCATCTCCATCATCTAATTGGTCTCCACAATGTGAAATACAGGAACATCGATAATAGGACCCCCTCATTGAAATCATGTTATTATTTCTAAGTGTCTGTACACCTTGACATGCCCCTGGAAACACTCTGTTTTACTTGAATCCATGTAACGTTTTTCACGAGTAAAAACGAGGGGTATGTCAATGTGTTCGTGTGCGCGAGTGGCTTTTCCCATGTATATGTGTTGCGTGTGCTTGAATTAAAGTGCCGCAGAGAATATAGGAGCGCCACCGAATCTCACGGCGTAAGCCACGTGAATCAAACAGAAAGGGGAATGGGAAATTGGTTGAATGTCATTTACAAATTTCAGTTGAACCACGGATTATCACTCTATCCCTCATCAGGCCTCCCATTAGCCATTGCACAGCCAGTTGTAAACCATGAAGAAGCCCAGAATGGCGTTGGAACAGGTGTTACAGGGATGTGCCAGTGACCTGTTTTCATTTTCAATCGATCTGGCGCTCTTCTGAATTCAAAGAACAAGGGGAAACTGTTTTGGCCAATCACTCTGGCAATTTAAATTCAACAGTTGATTAATTTGAGTGAATTGTCACGGTTTTTTTTGATAAGGGAGTGATGTGCCATTGGAGCAATAAATTTTCCAGTTGAATGCAGTCTCGGGGATAAAGGGAGACGATAAGAATGTTACAGCACTCTCCAATCGACCATTCGTGATCATGATTCGTTGGGCGGATGACGCGATTGATAAAATAATAACGAGTGACAACTCCATCCTTAAGTGCAACGATACTGTCGACGACAGGCAATTATCACTGAGCTGTTATGTCGACGATAATTGTGACAATGAAGACACTGGGGATATTACATTCACCTCGTGTCTGATCAGCATCATTCGGGGAATAAAGTGGTTTGGAGAGGGCGCGGGTTACCGTAATAATATAAACTCAATCGATGGTGCAAGCATTGATAAGATATTTCAATACTATTTTGGTATTTCAAGGGGTTGGAAAAGGTGTGAGTGCGTTTTGGGGGGTATTCGCTTGATTTTTAACAGTTGTTGGTCAATTGGTGGCGGATGACTCGTTCGGGCACACCTGGCGTTGTAGTATTAGACATTTATCTAGTTAATATACCTGTGCTTCGGGGACTTAAATTGTCGTCGTTGACGCGTCGTAGACGAAGACGGTGGTGCTCTTGGTTAACTGTGATTAAACGTACGATTGTCGTAATACCGTGATGGCGGACCTACCTGATATGTCCCATCTTACACCGGAGGAGAGGCGAATCATCGAAGGAGTTATGATGCGTCAGAAGCAGGAGGAAGAGCATGAGAATGAAATTATGAGGTGATTATTCAATATTTTTCATACCACAAGAAATTAACTCCCTCACAGTAAAAAACTTTATTTGAGACAAGTTTATTATTTTCAATGCATCATATCATGAGTTTATTACGTATAACCGAAGTATTCCAATAGCTTATTTTAAAGCATGAAACGTTCTTTGGGTCAGGTGAGTTGAGATCCGGGGGAGAATCGGAACATGAGAAATGAAGCCGACGTATAATCCACGAGTTGTTCAACTTATTTCGTTTATTCTCTCGGCATTTTTGCGGTATCGTCGTTCCACCGTTTTGTCGATTACTCATTTCGTACTTGTGCTTCTTCCACCGTTAGTTCCACAGTTACATAGATCCTCGGTCTTCTCATCCACCTACCCTATCTCCATTTGAGTAATAGCTGAGGGGGAATAGAAATGGGGAGGAATGATTAGGGAAAAATTTTACAGGCTTGGATAGGTCGAGGGCGCACGTTCTTTTCGCCCGGGGACACAAAACGTCGCTGAAATATAATCCTCAGTTGACGTTTCTTTTACCTCACAGTGTATACCTTCTCTTTTGGTTGAAGCCCCTGTATGATGCACTGTGGAGGCGATCCTTCTGTCTCGTCTGGCCCGAGGGCCATAAACTCGGTATACCTATTTCGTCTATGAGCTTGTTGTAGAAAAAAGAAAATGATGAGAGAGGGGAACCAATGGGCTACGGTATATTCTTTTCCCTCTCCTTCACTTATTTCCACAAGCGCTTTTCCTCTTTGGGCTTTAATACCCGCTCGTCCTCGATTCGCAAGAGTATCTCATTGTGTGTTCACTGCATCGAAGACACCCCCGTCCTTTAGCTACTTTCTTCATCCCCTTTTCATCCCCCTGTTTTACCCCTCTATTCGATCCCCGCACCCGGATTTAATTCCTCAAATGTTTACGAACTTGAAAACTCTGCACTCAATTCAACTTGTCGGGTATCCAACAATTTGTCTTCATTCTGTTCTTCCCAAGTTTTTCCAAATTTTTGTCGTTTCGCGGGAGGAGAGACTCCATTAATTATTCGATAATTCAACAGCCTCATTTTTACTATTCTAATATGACTGGATTGTTGGACTGAGTTCTACATGGAGAGAAATTCTTTTGGAAATTCCGGTGCTACCATGGAAAAATTCCGGTGCCGCTACTGGCAATTTTACGTAGTAATGTGCAAATTTCTATCTTGTGAATGTTAAATTCTCACATAAATTCCCCATCCCTATACCGCAAAAGAAACTGTTCATTCGTCTCTCGATTTATTGGGTTTTCATTCTCAATAATTTCTTCTTTTAATCCTCAATAACCATTACTCCAGAAGAAAAAATGAAAAATAGCCATAACTCTCCTGATGACCAGATGAAAGATCTTAATCCGCAATATCGATTCGACCATCAAACCCAATATATTCGATCCGTAAAAAAAAAAAATTCATGATTTTCACGTAGATATTGATCAAAAGCACGAAATTCATGAAGATGCAGCAGACTGAATCCTGATGTGTGCATATTCGAAGTAGTGAGGCACGACAGCGATTTAATTCTATTTCAGTTCGCCTACCCCCCAGGACAAATTGAGTTTCATCGATGGCAAAGGCATCAGTTCCTCTCAATCTCCCTCTCACCCTCTCGAGCATTGAATGCCTGTTCAACCCAGAGGTCTTCACACGTGAAAGGTCTCCTTTCCTTTGAGACAAAAAAAAGGAGAAATTTCATTCTCTTCCCTTCTTTATTTTTATTTTCCTCGAGAGGTCGAGATAAGCATTGGAGGTTGCACAATTTTCAGTGGTTTGGGACAGTGGACGATCAGATGGTATCCACAGCATTGTGCCCATTTCTATCTCACCCTTGAAGATCTCCACATTTCTATCGTTCGTGTAAATGTTAGCCCACTCCCTGGCATTTCTATTTGGCTCTTTTGCCCACCCACCAGCCTAGGTCCCTCCCTAGGTGATGCACTCCCTTTAAACCTATTTTCCTCCGCTATTTTCTCGGGAGGAACCGATACGGGCGAACGGTGAAATCCTCTATTCACTTCCTAGGCTGGTTTGCTTCTTCTATCTGTAACCACGAGGGAGTAGGGGCTGGGGTAGATGAAAGCCGAGGAGGAGCAGATACCGACATCAATGTGATAACTCGTCTTCACGACGTAATCTCTTGCTCTTTGATATTTCTCTTCCTCGAGGTACTCCACTGAGAAAAAAAATTGCTCGTGGAGGGAAGATTATGGGTAAATATTACAGATCTTTTCCGATAATCGGGAGATATTTCATGTGAATGGAGGAATGGGGAAAAATTATTGATTATTGTCGCTGATTTTTTGGGTGGGGTTCAGCAGCTCGGAAAAAACATTTTTTTTTTCGTCCGAAGGAACTCATTTTCCTCATTAACTCGTTTCTCGTTTTTCTGCAATCGCTGGGGCAATTTCCATAAACCAAAGAATAGACTAATCATGCAAGTCTGGCCCATTAAGCTACTCTGAAGTTGTCGAAAAGTTGGCTTGATCACCCTCTTCCTTTTCACTGGGACAGAGTCTAATATCGAAGCGGTCGCGTGCCACTGAAACTCAAACACTGAGTACGAGATTGAGGTGGAAAGGGATGAGGGATAGAGGGGATGGGGGAATGATGAGTTTGAGGGGTGGTGTAAGGGGTCCCTTTGGTCGTAAGACGCAGGATATACTCGGGGCTTAATTTTGCGCCATGGCAAAGGTGCCAGCTTAATGGACGAGGGGGAGTGGAGGGCTGGACGCTTTCAGGATTGGTTTACGAGCCGCCCACATTATCATGTCTGATGTGCATTTGCCATCCAACGAGTTTCCGTCCTATTTTTCATGATGCTGTTTATCGCTGATGGTTTATGAAATTTTTTAACGTGGGATATCGTTTGAAGTACGGTGATGGGCTCCAGGTGATTGCAGTGGGCGATATTTCAGTTATCTTTAATAGTTGAATGGATTTTAAATGAAAATGTCTTTTTAAAGCCTTCGACGTGGAGGCAAGAGTGTATACCGATTTTTTTTTTTGGTCAGTGTCTTTTGATGTACCCGAGCTGAACATTTTTGTGGATTGATTGGGTGATTAATGCATTTGTCTTTGGTGTGAATTTGCAGGCGAAAGCAGGATGAGGTACAGATACTTGAGGATACGATACGTGCACGCTCTGAGAAACACAAGAAAGCGGGTATAGAATTGGACGCAACGTGTCACATATGCATGAAAACCAAGTTTGCGGACGGTGTTGGGCACATCTGCAACTACTGCAACATACGGTGCTGTGCGCGTTGCGGTGGCAAAGTCACCCTCAGATCGAACAAGGTAAGAATATCAAATATCAAATATCAAATATCAAATATTTTCCAACAGATGAGGCTGAGTGGGTGGGTGGGTGTTTGGGTAGGTGAGGAAAAATTTTTGTTGACAATCGATGCTGGCGATAAATTATCAAAGTTTCCTCGCGTCTGGAAACTGAAATAAGTTCTTTTCATATTTTTTGCCGTGTGGAAAAATGATATATCCTTGGTCCGCACTTTCGTGTATCCCCCGGGCATTTTGCATTATTGTAAAGTTATACGTCTTGAAGCTTGGGAGATCAGTGGATACAAATGAGGGGTGGAGAAATGTTGAGACAGCCTTGTCTCACGGTTGTCATTTTCTTTTAGTCTGTCTGATTGACAGGATTTTTTTTTCTTCTCCTCCGGCCTGCAATATCTCGGTGACACACCTTGACACGGGATGACCAGATATGTGGGTGGGGTGGAAAGATATTTTATATTTCAAGTTTTCTCTTTCAGCCTTGACATTATCAGTGTATTTTGAGAGGGGTAATAACGGCCCGCGGTGGATGCATTATTGCAGGCGGATGTTCCCTATTTTCAGGGAGCTTTTGTCCGGATTTTTTCATCATTGATTATCGGTATTCATATTTTTTTCAAGCGTCCTGGAATTTTTTTCATTTTTTGGCAAAGCGAGGCTGAAACTAATTAACAGTATGATTATCTGTTCGTTATGTGGGCACGGAGAGATAAAGTCGACAAAATTAAAAAAAATTTTGTCGACTTTATCTCTAAAAATTAAAAAAAATTTTTAAGGAAATTTTGAGAATTGGAGAGAAATGACCTTTTGTGCCGTGAAAAATTACGCAAAGTGGCACAATTCGCCAATTACTTTACGACAATTTTTAGTGAACTTTTTCCCAACCCCCTGAAAAAAAAACAAAGCAAGAATAAATCATACATAAAAATAATTTGTCTGCCCCCCCCCTCCCCCCACCCCACCCCACACCACCCAAATTAATTTACCAGACAGTTCAGAATTGATGCAAATGAATCGCAACAACCGGAACGTCAAAGCGCGACACGAGGAGTCCCGTGGTGGATGGGAGAGGGCGAGAGGGATGATACTCAGCATTACACAAGGTCGTTTGTGTGTGAGGGAGAGGAAAATTGAGTCCGGGGGTAGGTTAGCCAAGTTTTATATCCACGCTTTTGGCCTCGGTCTCTCTCTCTGCGTGGGGGCCTATGAATGGGGCGCGTCCCTGCGTGACGTCACTGGAGGCTTGTGCGCCGCGTCGACGAGTGGGAGAGCACCCTCTACCCCCTCGTCACACCACAGGACCAACAGAGACAGAGGCACAACCCCGAGGAAGACTGTGGAGAAATGATCCGATGTAGAGGGGATGGCGGTGGGCGATCCGGGGGAAGGGAACGAAGGGTACGTGACGCAACATATTGATCTAAGTTTGGGAGGGGGGTACATGCGAGACGAGAGGGCAGAGGGATGAAATACAGGCCGCCTCGTCAGACCCACATACACGCAATTCCACTCTCTCCCTCATTCCAACCCACCGTCACCCACTGCCACCCACTGCCACCCACTGCCACCCACTGCCACCCACCGCCACCCACCGCCACCCACTTTAACTCAAATTATCATCCCACCGTGTGCCCATCGTTTCGCCCATTCTACTGTCAACAATATATATTTTTTAATTATTCCCTCCATCACCCACGTGACACCGAAAATACCTTGACATTAGATTAATGGACGTAAAATCGATTGCCGGGTAAATGGAGGAACAAAAGTGAAAAAGAAAAAACACATTTGTGTCATCGTTAAGATCTTTTTAACGTGTCACTTTCGCTCGCGGTGTTGGGTATGACGGGGGATGAGTGGTGAGTGGGTGGTGGGTGGCTATGAGAGATTAAAATCTGTATGGACGACGCGTTTTAGTGTCCACGGTAACAGCTATTACCACGTGTCACTGGGTGACCAGCCAAGTCCCTATCGATAGGCCCTGGCGTTTTATCTTCAGAGCGATTTACGGTGCAGGTCCACGCCGACGGTGTATGTGGATTTTTTTTTTCACCTTGGATTTGCACACACACTTTCACTCCTTTATCTTGCGTTTTTTTTACGGTCGTTCTCGGTCTTTCACGTCCACTTGGGCTACCCCAAGTGAAAATTATCGATCCGGTTGGCGACGACGTGGTCGAGCCCACGGGGGAGGTGAGGAACGCGGCAAAGTCGGAAGTTTCGTTAGGAATTTCTGGGAATTTTATTTTTGTTATTTTTTCTCGTGTCGATTGAAGGGATAAGGGGATGCGGGGGTGCGTGTGGAGTTGATTTGACGGTTATTTGGGATTTTACTGGTGGTGTTGTTTATGGGTGATGTTTGAGTGGGGGGCGGGTAAAAAGATGTGGGTTTTCAATTCAGTGGAGCTTCTGCAACGCTTCCGCAGTGCGATCGATCAAAATAACACGGGGAAACCGTTGGGGTTTGCGAGGCATCTCCTGTGCAGACGCGGTTTGTCTCGAGAATCCTGCATCCTTCGGTATCTTCTACATCGGAGAAAAAAGGAATCAAATCGGGAAGATAGGGGGAGTTGGTCGAGAGGGAGGGAGTTACCGGGGCAAATCCAGTGCAGAAATGATTTTTAGGGTATCAAGATCAGTTGGATTCCGAGGAAGAATAGCCGGGGGACCACTTTGGGGTGAAGGAGCTTGGAGAAAGGCCTGCAATTGACGGTAATTCCAATGGTATCGAACTCTATTCGAGAAGGCATTCACCATTGCTCAGTCTATATACACCAGTTTCGTAACTCCCCGGTTATACTTTCTCGTGAAAGCCATTGCGCAGTCAATCATTGATGAAAAAATTTATTTCGGAAAAGTCACGTTGTTCCTCCAAACATCCAGCTCCTGAGCTGGAGTAAATTTTTTTATCAGTCTTTTTGATTTCTGCCCCCTGTGAGAGCAGCCGTTGGTTGATGTAAAAATTAGATTTTGGAAAAAAGTCATTTTCCTCCACCAAAATTCGTAGATATCGTCTGCGAGGTGAATACATGTGAAATAATGCTGTCGTCTCATAAATGTAATATATAGATCCGACATGTCCGCGTTCAAAAGGCAATATATGAGAGATATTCGTGTACATACATGCACTTAGAATTGACATATGTGTGGTATATAGATTTTTTTCCCCGGTATATCCTTCACCGGCACTATATATTCGTTGAGCGCCAGGAATTTTCCTCCCTCGATGGCAAACTCCTGAGAACTCCTGAGAACTTCTCATTTTTCCAGCGATTTAAAATAGCTCGAACCACTTGGATTGTGTAATCTGAGGGATACTGTCAAGTGCGATCAGGGGAGATTATCCGGGTGTATATCGTTCCACTGGGTATAATTAAATGCAGTCTCACGGAGTCTCGAAATGTCGAAGCCATTTCCACCAGCTCATCTAGCTCTCCTCCACCATGAATTTATGCCAAGACACGAGTTACTGCAGAACAGCATTGATACCTCAGAACTCGAGCCGAGTAATCAGTCAATTTCATCAGATAACTGTCAATATTCCGATAAATGCGTGTAATTTCATAGCTGATGTCTCTCTGATGGTGAGGGAATTAATTTCAAGTTGAATTAGTTTGATTTGGGTGCTGTGTGCATTTCAAAGAGTCGGAAAGAAAGGTGATGGGAGTTGAGATTCTTGGGAGGTGAGATAACATCCGTCACTGAATCCATTGTTCCTAGGGCAGGGCTGCTCTACTGATGATTCAAGAAAGCTATTTATCCCTCTCACTGAGAACGTAAAATCCTGAATGCTCAAGACAATGGCACTTGGATTTATCCACCATTTGGATTTCATTCCACCCTGTCTAATTCATTGGGTCAATTCTTAAAAGATGGGAGTAATTAATGATGATTAGGGAATGGGCGAAAGTTTGATGAATAGTTTCAAGAGTTTTTAGTTGAAACTTTCACGAAAGTCGAGGAAAGGATTTTCTAGTTATCAACGAGTTGACGCAAAAGGACTTCGTCATTGGAATATTAGAATTTAATGAGAGAATCTCTGGGGATTATGAGTTGTAAGATCAAATAGTTTATGTTGTAAAATGGAAAATGTTTCTCACAACAAGTTGTATTGAAAATTTCTCAAATAATTTCCCTCTTGGCAGACATTTGATTGCAGTCTCACCCGCCTGAATTCGATTACCGATTTCTCCAAGTTTACCTCAGTTTGAACCAAGAAAATGGTAGAGACAATGGCGGTAATTTAATTTCGATTTTAACACAAAAAGAAGACAATCGATAAAGTACAACTGCAATTGTCGTCGTTGTGTTCGATTCAAGAGGAGGATGGGTGGTTTTAAAGCGGAACGAGAAGTTTACTGTCTGTTGGTGCTTGAACACACATCAAGGTATACGAAAATGTACACAAGGTATTTCCAGCGAGGGGATGAGAGGTGAAATGGGTGAAATGGGTGGAGGGCTGTTGGCATTGGTCGTTTCGGAAAATTTAACGGTCGCACTCAGTGAAGAATGTGCCATTTCGATGTGTTGAGAATGGGTGTGAGACTAGATGTTGGATACAAATTTTTATTGCCACCTTCTTTCAGTCCTACCGAATGTGTTGCTCCAATCGATAATTCTCACCCGAGTCCCTCAATCACGTCGATATAGGTGAATAAAAATCGAGAGAGGAGAGACCGAGGAATTTATGTAATGTTGCATCAATGATGTGTTGGAGATAAACTATTATCGATATTCCCTCATTTTACGAGTGTTATGGCGAGGTTGCATCATGCTCGACGGGGTGGGGTTCCATTCCCATTTCATTCAAACACCCTGACGAAATTTCATTCCAGTGGCTACTTTAGTAAGCCTTTTTTCGCAATCTCATTCAATAGAGTTTATCTTGATTCTTCTTTCATTCCTCGGACCGTTAAAATTGGGGGAGAAAAAGAAAACTATTAAGCTCTTTTATTCAACAATATGGAAGGGGAGAGAAACTGGCGACTATTGTTGGGATAACAAAGAAAATTATCGGAATTGAGTCAATTGATTTTTTTTTTAGATTATTCACGGATAAAAACTATTTCAAGGAAAAGTTGAATTAAGTTTGAAAATAATGTGGGTGGAGATTGTTTTGGGGAATATACTATTGGGGATGAATTTTGTGGAAGACTGGATTGTTTTGGAAATGGTCCAATTGTTCTCAAGTTATTAGTACCGGGATGACTGCGCTGGATATTTCGACTGGAGGAAAATGTGAATTCGTCATAAAATTGATGATTGAGCCAGAATGAATTTTAAAAGATGAAACCGTTGAATTGTTGCAGGTCATATGGGTGTGCATTCTGTGTCGAAAGAAACAAGAGCTCCTCTCGAAAACTGGCCAATGGATGGTGAAATCAGGTCTGGGTGCTGCGGACGAAGCGATGCTCAGGCGAATGCAGGAGGATATGCAGGGCACCCCGGGCCTTTCAGACTTGACCCAGGACAAGAGACCAAAGCTGGAACGTGCTCACAGTGCTGCTGAGAAGGAAAATCTACCGCTACTCCAGAGTAGTGGAAGTCTACTCAGACGTCAATACTCCCAACAGGAGCAGGTGAATCACTCTGAAAAATCTTTAAACTTTTTTATTCTACCCTCTCTAACACCCTCCAGTGACTCTGGGATTATATTTTCCAAAGTTACTGCCAGTTCCCACCAAACTGTAGAATCAAAGTTTCTACCCTCTGATAGCTCGAATTTGGATACCCCCGGCTGTCGTAACTCGGAGTGCATTATCGGTGAAAGTATCAAGTTGTATCGGTTTGTCCTCGATAATAAGAGCTCCTTCCACTCGTGCTTAGACTCACCTAACTTTGTGCCTGCCAGGCAAGAAAATTCTTCGAGCTGACGAATCCTTTCTTGTTCAACGCTGTCTATTTTTTCAGAAAGCTTTTCACCATTTTCACCGTGCCCACCTTTTCGCTGAAATTTATCCTACAATGTGATTAATACGATAGATCATTTCTAACTCTTCAGTTTTTCATGTTAATTTTCTATGAAAATGATAAAATCTATAGTTGCGATTCAAAATATAGAAAACAATAATTTCCAGGAGAATATATTGTCAATATTTATTTATCATCATAAGTTTTATTCTCTGGGTCAATGGCTTAAGCCCTCGGAGGCGTTTTGGTGTAGCCATTATCGCCGGAAATAAAGAAGAAGACTGCGTTTATATGGCCGCGGGGTGGATTTGAGAATGGATCGATCATCCAACAGAGGACTAATGAAAAAGTTTCGTACGAGGACGCGCCACTGGCCGAAAGCCATTAAACTCCAGACGTTGCATGGTTCGCCAACCTGTTCCAGGAAATTGCCCTTTATTTATTAACGTCAAACATACTGTTCCTCTTGCGCATCATTTGATATTTCTCAATTCAACCATTTCCGGTGTTACGCACTTTGTAATCCTTTTAAGATATGAAATATTCAAGTTGTGGATTCTGTGTACAGATGCCAATGCGCAGGATGTCCACCAGCGACAGTGGAGTAGAGATGTCCGTGTCACCGCACTCTAGAAGTCTACCAACTCCCCATGTTGTTGTTGGTTCCTATCCACAACAAACACCGAGACATCCGGCTGCCTTTCCCGAGGATGATCCTAATCTTTATCGTGGTGAATTGGATGGACTCATGAGAGAACACGCTCAGTCTTACCAGAGAACGAGACAAATTTATAAAGTGAGTTTATCATACTGCAAACCTCATCACGTTCTCATTTTTAAATTGATGCAATTTTCAAAAATGTGTATTCCCCCCCTGAAAAGGAGAACTCGGATATTTCAATGGGCTACCCTCACTCTGGAGTAGACTCGTCTCGAGTTCATCTGAATCAGCAGCACTCGGTGCATCCAGTTCAAGTTGGGCATCCCTCCCAGCAGTCAGCTGGCACTGGTCCTGGTTCTCTTCACCAACAGAGGAGTTTCAGTAGCAGTGAGGAGGAGCGCAGTACACCGGAGTGCGCGAGTGACGAGCCCGACGAGTCCGAGAAGGGTAAGTGCTCTGTAATCACTCACTCCAATTGCCTATCGCTCCCAATAATGAGATTTCAGGCCCAGCGAATAACAGTAAACATCCCCAGCGGAATATTTCCCTCCCGAAAAAAGTGCAACCGATTCCTCATGAAAGGTAGAGATCGTGGATTTCCACTTGAGGTGTCTACTGACTCGCCCTCATATCCCCCAGAGAAAGAGGCTCAGGGTATAGTTGATTAGACACAGGCCTGGTGAAGCGTGTCGAGGAACTCAGCCACGTGCAAAGAGTAGCTGCACTCGGTACAGGAATATCCAAGGCCTCCTTTCCCACATTCCCACATACATTTCCCCCTCTGTTACCTATTTTTTTTTTTTCATATTTCCTACGTTCCCATCGTCGCAGGGGTTGGAAGAAGGTCAAACGGTAATTTCAATCTTGGGAATCTGAAAAATAGAAACAGAGGAACTGATTATTATCTCCAATTGGAGACTAGCAAGCTCCAATTGATTCATGTTTGAAAGAAAGTGCAGTATATTCTCATTTCTTCTTAATCGAAGTCAAAGACGCTATGCTAGAAATTACTAGTTAACTACCCATGAAATTCCAATTTTTTTCTAATAGCGTAGTTGCGTGATCTTGAATTTCTTTTGAATTAGGTTCTTTCATATTCGTTATGTGCGTATGTTGTAAAGGTCGGAAGGTCGTGGTAATTTAGAATGAGGACAACACTGAGAGGTGTCATCATCGCAAATTATAGGCAAACCTGTCTGGAAATTGATTGCTATTTTTGCAGAAGTGCTAGTTCGTTTGACATAATTCATGGGAAAAAAATATTCGTCCGAAGGAATGCATTATCGGAAAATTCAGCTCCGTAATTTTAATCGTTCCTGTTCTCATTATTCCCGGCATTGCCAATCTTCTGATACGTTTCTATTTACATTCACGTGTTCTATCCGGTGTTCAGAAACTCACGCAACCAAAACGATTGCCCACTATTCACCATCAAAAATAAATAGAATATCCCGCAATCGATATCTCTTTTGAAGAAACTTTTATCCTCTGTCTGCCCCTTGGAACAACTCACGCAATCTTGACCCTCAATTCTTATAAGAATAATATTTGGGTTTTTCAGAAATTTGGAAAAGATTGTGAAACATAAATTATATATTTTTTTTACATAAATTACGTCAATCGACGATACTCGCAGATACGTTTGAAAAATATATTTTTTTTCTTGTGGGCGTGTCGATCCGGGAATTTTCCCCTAGCTAGCACTTTGCGCCCCTACACTAGCGTTGGAATTCCTCTCTACAATGACTCTCCGTGTTTCCTCTCAATTTTCTATGTCACGAGACCTGAATTTTCCCCACAAATTCCTAAAAATGTATTAAAAACCCAATACTATCTACTAAATATACCCAGCACAGCCCCATAAGAAAATTGTCCTTAAAATTTCAATTAAAACTCTTGAAATTTTCAAGATTATTCCCCCCGACTGATCAATCTCTCGAAAATTTCTCGAGCAATTTACCTCAAAAATAAATTCATATCGAGAATATTGAAAATCCAAATACATCTGCTACTTGAAGAATTTTTTACCAGTGAGTTATGACATTCGATTTGGAGATTTTTTATCCCCCAATATTTAGCATCTGCAATGTGAATCTCCGAGTGCTCCCCATAGCCATCCGTCCCCGATCCTCTAGGATTCCTCTGAATCGTCGCCTGCCACGCATAAATCCCGAGGCATCCCAACGTGGCTCTGAATGGAATAGCCGAGTGCAAGAGAATCAGGAGGAGCGGGTTGCGGATGGATGGGATCTCAGAGAGAGAGAGAGCGTAGACAGACCCCATTGTATACACATTTACCCCCGGCTTGCATGCGATTTCGTCTGGTGGGTGTATACATAACCGAGAATGTAGTATCCTGCGGGAATCCAGTTGTTGGGATTCTACCTTTTCCCCGGAACCGTCGTTGCATTGATCCTTGGGAGTTTCTACCACCCCCTGGCACCCTCTCTGTCCCACCCTGTCCCTCCCTGTTCCTCTTTAACCCCCAACTGTACAGTTGGAGCCACTCGCCTACGCGTTTCCGTTGTGACGTCACGCGGCCAACACGTGGGCGAAATCAAACATCGCCTGCAGAGCCCTCCAGGAGTCGCAAGCCCTCCCACTCTCATCTACACCCTCTTGCACCCCTCTGGTCCATTCAGAGGCCCCCGGAATTCCCTCAGAAAATCTCCCGTCACGCCAGCTCTTTCCGTATCTTACCATCACCCCCTCACACCTCCTCACCCCTCCTCACCCCTCCTCACCCTCTCAGAGGATGAAAGAGAGAAACTATGACGCACGGAGTCTTCTCACCATTTTTTTTTCCCATCATCCCTTCCGCGTCTTCATCATCATCATCACCATCCCGGAATATTCCACTTTACCCATTTCACTTACACCGTTACAAATTTTCGCTTCAACTTCATTTGCAAAATTCTGCAACTTTTTTGCGATCTGCCATTCCACCGGAATTTTACGGATTCTTATCAGTGAATATTCTGGATTTTTTGCATTTTTCTGGTTCTTCAAATTTTTTAAATTATTGAAATGATTAAATTCTGGAATGACTGAGTGTAAGATTTAATTTCTATTTTAATTCTGGTAACTAAAATCTCCCCAGGTAGACCAATAATAGGGGGTGACTTTTATTTACTCAGTGAGCTCTCCGTGATGCAGGTGGGAGGGTGGAAAAATGTGTGGAAAATGTCAACAGGATGAGAAAAATAAATGCGAGAATATATACTGATGCACCGACACGTCAGTGAACGGTTAACGATTGTGATCCTTCTCACGTGCGATATCTTCCGTGGGTGATATACAGTTGTAGAGGAAAACTGCAGTTGGATTATATGACAGTGCGTTTATGGAAGTTTTTTACTGCACTTCGTTAAGGGATGTATGGAATTTCGCAGGGGTGAGTGAAGTATTCACCTGTTGATCCAGTTTTTCCATCAGTCAATATTTAACCCCAAGAGTTCACCCATTATTTCCCTCTAATCTGCCCCAGACACTTAATTGTGTCGACGATTATCCCCATAATTCTCTATTTATGGATCGAAGTAATAAGATTTTATGAACGATCGGTTGCACTTGATATATTTTCCGATAAAAAAAAAATGTAAACCAGGGCATTTCATGTACCAAGACGTAGGTGTGACAGAATACCATAGGTCTCTCAACACCTCGATATAAAATAATCTAGTAATTATTCAATACTTGGGAAAATATGAGGAAGGAGAGGACGTTGTTGCTCCCATCAGTAGATGCACAATATATTACCATGTTTTAGAAAATAGTATTTAAATAGTTTGTAGTGAGCTTTGATAAGGTACACTCTAGGAGGTAAGTCGATGTTAATCAAGATGTTTAATTAATTTAAAAAACTGCATCTCCCAGCGGAAATTCATTTCACTCGTGGAGTGAGGGGAATAAATTGGGGCTAACTCCTTCTCCCCTCATAAACCAGAATAATAATCGTTCTCATACATATACGGAAAATCCCCATCGAGAGATTATACTTTACGTGGACTAGAATCATTGAAAGATCATCCCCGCCTTTTTTTTCACTCCCTCTCATCCAGATACACCGACTTGGGGGATGAGCAAAAGAAATTTTTTTTTCAAGGGGAAAATCTCCACTCCTCTTTTCCCTGGAAATCCAAATATTTGCCAGCATAAACAAATCGCACTCTCATTAGTTTCAACTGGGTGAATGTTTTTTTAGTCTCTCGTAGGGGATGAGAGTGAAAATTCTGGAGAGAGTAATAATAGTGGTGAAAATCCGGGAAGCGTTTGTGGGAGTTTTACGGGATTCTACGCGGGAATTTTTCATGAAATCTCCGGTGGGGGCGGCGGGGGGGTGGAAAAGGGGGTGGATGGGAGGTGTGATTTATACGTGGTAAGCCGGTGTCATCTAACTTTTAAATTAAGACCCCGGAGGCCCCCGGACTCGGTCTCCAACTCCGTTACTACTTCTTGCACACGTTCTGGGGGCGTCTCACCATAGCTATACCTTTTCTACTTATTTTTCTTTTTTTTCGTTTTTTTTATTTTCCGGGGGAGGGGTGCCTCAGCACATTCGAGTCTCTATTTATTGCCTGTGTTAAATGGAGGATTCGGGACGTGCTAACGTAGGCGTCTTTCGGTTGCTGGGGGGTTAAGCGATGTTCATGACTTGATTTTTCAATTTTACGTCTGGTAAAAAGAGGGGTGGGACGGGTGGATTTATCGGATCTATGGATTCATTCGTTTAATCATTGGGATTTTTTTTACTATTCACTGTTCGAAATTGGTCGTCTATTGGCTTTTTTAGGAAAAAAGTTGAACATTTATTTATTTAGCCTAGATTTACATGAAAATCTCCAGTTTTAGTCAATTTTCCCGGTGAATGAGAACTTTCATGAGCGACGTAATCTTACATTGAATTAAACCCCACAATGTTGAGAATTCAGTTGCAGTTGTTGCTGAAAATTAAACAAATGTCTAACAGTGTTGTCCCGTTTTGAATAAATTTCGGTAAATTTGGAATTCTCCTGGGACATAAAGGAATTGTTTTCGTAATTAGTTTTCGAGATTCGAAATTCTTGTGTTTACCGAAAATTTCATTAAATCCGAATTTGGCAGTTATCCAGATGTCGTCACGTAAATTTTCTCGATCGTTTCAGCAATCGATATCTCCGTTTTTTCGATGGGCATAATTTTTATTTTAAAAAAAATAGAATTTTCTTCCCACGGGATGCCTTTCAAAAGAATTTACAAATATAATTTTTGTCTGTTTTTACACAATCTCTCCCAAATTTCTAAAATTCCCAAATAAGAATTGCAGTTCAAAATTACGTGGGTGGTTCCGAGAGGCAGACAGAGGAAGTGAAGTTTCCTTCAAGAGAGATATCCATTGCGGGAGATTCTATTTATTTTTGATGATGCATAGTGGGCAATCATTTTGGTTGCATGAATTTCTGAATACCGGGAATATTGAGAACTGCTTGAACGATTAAAATTTCGGGGGAGAAGTTTCCGATAATGCATTCCCTCGCTCGAATATTTTTTTCTCCAAGAATTATGCCAAACGAACTAGCACTTCTGCAAAAATAGCAATCAATTTCTAGACAAGTTTGTCTATAATTTGCAATGATGACACCTCTGAGTGTTGTCCTCATTCTAAATTACCACGACCTCTCAACCTTTACAATATACGCTTTTTCTCCGGTGTACCTAAGAATGAACTATCAAAAGAAAATGTAATTATTCAAAACAATACCCCTTTTATTGCATCCAGAAATTGACAAGGACAATTCTGAAAAGAAACCATTCAAACTACTGTACATTCCCTCGAGCTCGGAATTACGCTAAAGACCATGTAATTACTGAATATATGAATTTATTCGACCGTATTGTCGGACAGAAATCCGCAATGCTCCTTTAACATGGCTCGAAACTGGTCGTTATCCATTTCACTGGAATCCCTTTTCTTTTTACTTTTTAGATTTTTTTCAGGATCATCCGATCGACTAAATATTCGCCACGGAAAAGCGTACTGCGGTATTCAAAAGACAGTGGAGCCATGATGGGTGGTCAGGGGTGGGAAGGGATGGGAAGGGATGATAGGGTGATAGGAAGGGATAATGGGAGAAAGAAAAATGAAAATGGTAGTGGTAATACGTACACAGCGCACGTGCAAATCCGCACAGGTACATACACAGCTATTGTCACTGATACATAGCGGAATATTCTAATATGGGATAGAGCTAAGGAGCAGGGGAAAAGGGGAACTTACACGCGATGCATACGGGAGCCAATGGTGCACCGATCGTGCCTTCAATTTGTCATTTTTATTGGCCCTTATCACAATCTCGGGTCTAGAGTCACGTGCTGATGAGTCGTGAACGAGAATCCGCGTCTCATCTTTTCCTTTCCGGGGATTTCAACCCTTTCCTCTGCAGCGATCAAGCCAAACTGTAAAAATGGAAATTTTTGAGAATTTCAACCTGATGATTTAAATTTTTTATTTATTTCTTTTATTGTTCTTCTCTAGTCCACTCGGTGAAGCTCAACGATTTGAAGCATTCGCTGTGATCTGATGAATTTTTATTATAATAATATGCACTGGGATTTTCTCGAATTTCTTTAAAGTGAAAAATGGAAAAATTATTGTTTGTCAAATTTTATTGAATTTCACGTGTCTCAAATAAACACGCGATTCTAGGTGAAAAACTGGTGCCAATAGTAGCGAATCCAAGGAGTCCAAGGGACAAGGCAGGAGACCGAATAAATCGTCAAGCGATGCTGGACGAGAAGATGAAGAAATTTCTCGCGGTATATTTTCAATTAAAAAAGGCTCGATCGATCAGTGTCACGAATTATATATTACTCCATACTATTAATTGTCATCGTTTGAATTTCTTTGAATATTTCCATTACTCATTATTCCATCGCTCGCAGACTTACCTATAAAACTGGCTAGAACATTATTCACTCACTGGAGTAAAATTTCTATTTCTTTTTCATCATTCCGATATTTACTGTGTGTAAATCGTGGGTATGGGGATGCATGCGTGTCTTCCTCGTGTATGAACGTGCATAAAAAACTATTTTCACATCTTTATCACTATGTCTGTGTGAACTCTTGAATTCAATCGAAAATTCATCAATTCTATTTACTGTTACTGCACTTTGAGGTACACTACCATTTTATCTTTTATTATTACTATAATCGATATCCTCTCAGCCTCAACCATCTCCTTCCAGCCAATTATTTATTTAATACACACGAAGTCAAGTGAAAAAATGGATATGTTAAGGCATTTTTTACTAGTTTTTGGGGTATTAAAGTGTGTGTAATGGTTGACCTCACAGCTAATTAATTCCAACTAGAATAAGTAAAGTATTTCATACAATGCTCTTCATTCCTCCACACCAAGTTCTAATGAAAACATTCAACTACTAGAAAATCGAATACATCAGACCAGAACAATCCAAACTTCTCCGCAAACACGATATTTCACGCTTTTCAACCTTCTACCCTCAGCTCTTCGCCGTCAGGACGTCCGCACAATTCTCTATATCCGCACACACTGTATGTTAATGTCTTCCATAAATAAACATAATTATTACCATTTCCCACAGGTCGCTACACAAATGCAATCAGAGCCACAATACAATTTCCAATGAAAGGATCAGATATTTAAAAATATTCTTACAGCCTCACGCGTGCGATATAGGAGATAGGGATGGGATTATTTAGTATGTAGTTAGAAGTACTTTGCAATACAATATCAGAGAGAAACTACACGGAGAAAAAAATATAGGGATATTGTAAAATATACGAAATTGCGGGGAATGCTCTGGTGTTGTTTAATCAAGTGAACGAGTAATTGAGACAAAATTTATTTGATGATAGAGAGAAATTTATCATTCAAGGGATTTTTTTGCTTGTTTGTTTAATTTTTCTGGATTAATATCTAGAAAAATCTTCAACATGAGGAATTTTGTTAGTCATGAGATAATTATTAACAACACCGGAGGGACCAGTCATTTTTCCTGAGATGAGAGGAAAAGTCGAATTTCTCTTTCGTTTTATCGTGCTGCATAGGATTGAACGGATTTTTTTTGAATGACGTAGTTTTGGGCGAGGAGAATAAATGTATTTGTCTGCAGTAAATTTGGGCGGGGTGGGGCGTGTTGATAGAGTTTAGGGTGCGAGCACGGTAATTTTTCTTCTATTTTTCTCTCCGTGTAGGAGTTCTTGGATCTACTGTAGGGAAGGGGTACTATCATCATGGGGGAGGCACATCATCGATGTCCGGTGGTTCACGTAGACATGGATCTCACAATGGACATCATGTTACCGGCTCCATGACCATTGAGTATAATGGCCATCATCCACCGCGAGAGCCTCGAAAAGAGGAGAGTACCCTCGTAAGGAGAAGCTTCCGAAGAAGCGGCGACGAGTGGCGCGCCGACAGTCGGAGGTGCGTTTTTTTTATTCATTTTATTTTCAATCCAGTCATCCTAAACTACCGGGTATTTTTTTACTATCCCCAGAAATGCGCTTACCAAAATTAATAAAAATCATTTACTCCAATCAAGTCTCAAGTGGACAAGTGCCTCAAGTAGCTTCAAATATTTTTTTTGCTGTGATTTCGTCTCTAAGTAATTTCTCATTTTCAATCTCTGGGAAATGGACTGTTAAAAAAATTTTTTTAATTCAATCTATTGAAAATTGAAGTGAACTTGATATTTATTTTTTATGAATTTTAAAATTCCGAGTGAAATTTGGTTTGAATTTTTAACAAAAAAGAGCGATTTAATATTGAATTGAATAACAATTTCCAAATATTCTGAATAATGTAAAATAATATTTTTGGTAGTTTTCAATTTGTTGAAAATATTTGTTGAAAAAAAAGTGTCAATTCAGGACCAGCCACAAATCTAGACGCAACTTTGAAGCTCCATTGACCCAATATATTTCGAGAAGTTTAAGTTCATTTGATTTACAATTGAGATTTCGTCAATTGAGTTTATTTATGTATAATTTCCCCCGTGAGAGCAAGAGGCTGAAGTGTATGAAAGAGAGGCAAGCAGAGTCGAGGACGGCTTAGCTCGTAAAAGCAAAGAATCTTGAAACGACTTTTTTAAAATTCCTCTCCCTCACGAATTATCAAAGAATAAATTGGCCCAGGGTAAAAGACGTTTGATATGAATTTGAAGCGAGGCTCGTTAACCAAAGAGGCGCAAAGAGCGAAAAAAAGATAATGGAGAATAACAAAAAAAAAAAAAAAACAAGCGTAAAAGACGGAACGATCGATGGCAAAATTGAAAGGACAGAGGAATCCATAAACTAGGGGTAGAAGAGCAGTGCAGGAGGTCGTGCACTCGTGTACCTCGGAATCGAATTGACTTGACGAGATAGCCGTTCTCGATCTGCGAGTGAGAGACAAAAGCATTGAGAAATAGGAAAAAAAAGCTTCCGTTCGGACGCAAAAATAATAAAAATTCTGAAAAAAGAACAAGTGTCCTGATAAAAGGGATTTCTGAAGATAAAACGCGCGCGCTTTAAAAATAGACAAAGAAAAATAAACAATTAAGCAAAAAACATCAGTAAGCAAAGATGAATAGAGCAAAAAAAAAATTAATTAAGGTTCACTGAGAGGAGGGGGAAAAAGACAGTGAGATTCGACGGTGGGACCAATGTAGGTGGCTCACAGGAGGACTGGTCTTGGGAGGCTGATCGTCAAGGTAGCCAAGACAGCGCAACCAAAGACTCAGGAATAGACACATCGAGTACATTTACAAGCAGTGAAGACAGCAATCGCGGTGATTTACCAAAGGTACGAATAAACAGGACAACCGGCGGTAAACTCAGTGAAAAAAAAACCTACCACAAAAACCTCATGATTTAAAAAGTGGGGCGCAATGTTAGAACTCAAGTAGTTGGAGCTAAGCATACAACGAATTTTTTTCATTAGTTTTTCAGTTGTAGTTCTGCGAGTTGCAAAATCTCCTTCATCTTTCTCCATTTTATCAAGCGAATTGACCAATTTTTATTTTATCTATTCAATATTTTAACGCTGGATAATAGGATAGGAGATATTCAAACTTTTTTGCACATTTATTCATGAACCACTGGAGAGATATCGCGGGGTGGTTGGGGTGGGGGAGATGAGTTAATTGAAAGAGAAAGGCGATTAATTCAATGGTTGATAAAATGCTATAGTTAATTGAGGATTGATTTTTTTTTACCTGCTCCGCTGGTACTTTTTTTTCACCATTCCTCCACCAATGACAATTGAAGTTGTCTGTCAGGATGCTTAACCTGATTTCAATTAGACAGCATGTTACCCAGTGCTTTGTGAAGGAGAGAGATTGATGGAAAAAGATGTTAACAATACGAAATTGGCTACGTGTAATACATCAAGGGGAATTGAGCACACGAAAAATTCACCCTTTGATCGACCCAGAGGCACTCAATTCAGCTTCTCATTCCTTTCAATTTTTCTTGTGCTGTGTTTTTTTTTTTCACAACCGGGTGGAGGAAGTTGTCGGAAAAATTATGTAGCTGACCCTCGAGACTTCCTGGGATTTTTGGCATCGAGTCTAGACGATCTGGAAGCAGACAGGATTCTCTCCAGGATTTATCATTTATTTCTCTCCTTGACAGAGTCTGGATGTGAGTTCCAAGAAAAGTACCGCAGTGGAAAAGTCACTTGGATCACCGAAATCTTGGACATTGAAAATTACTAGATGATATCTCTCCTGCATTACAGGAAAAAATCTGAAATTGAGTGAATCCCATTAAAAAAGCAGACCATGTAATCCTCACAGATAACTTTCAGTGGAGGAGCTGCCGTAAAAAATATTGGATACAGATTATGTAATGTCTCATCAATTGTCGATTTTTTCCTGTAAACATATCGCACTCTGGCACAAAAAATCGTGAAAGATACGAGATTGGAGATCTCGGTGCTGCAGATACGGATAAAAATAGACAACTGGCGACTAAGCTGAGGAAGCTAAATGAATTGATGCATTAATGCGTTGAGGCCGACCCCTATCCCTAAAGTAGATCCACCTGATAGGGCTCAACATCCTCCAGTCACCCCAGGATTCTTCTATAGAACATGATAATCCACTGAATTCCATCCTACCTGCACGCCTGCTTAACATGAATATGCTACAACACACAGAGAATGTATTTTGGTTCATTTCGCATGGTACATTGTTTCATTTAATGATTAATCAGAAGTCCTCTGCTTTCGTGCATTTGTTTCATCAGTGAATGGCTTTTGATTGATGCATTGGTGTTAATTACCCTGGAAAAAAATTGTACAACATTTTGTTCACTAATTTTTTATGGGGTTTGTGTGACTTAATGAAAGGATTTGACAAGAAACATGTGAATGGAATGACTATTCATGATTGACGAATCCTTTGAGTTTTTGTGAGGCCCCAGGGTGATCCTGTCATTATTATTTTCATTTCTCGAATTATCCTGTAGCAACCGTTGTCCTGGCAAGGGAGTAGCGATGGGCACAAGACAATTGGTCACATGATCCTGCGGAAATCAGCTTCCGGAAGTAGTAGCATTCTGGGCCTCAAGGTTGTCGGCGGAAAGCTCCTGGAAGATGATAGAGTTGGCGCCCTCATCGAAAAGGTCAAGAAAGGGAGTACAGCGGATGTTGAGGGACAGTTGAGGCCAGGTAAATCCTCGGAAATTGATAAATTCCTTTCAAATTTCGCTGAAGGCTTCCGATGGAATTGGAAAATGACAGATTTAGCATGAAAATTTATTCAGAAAAATCCATATCCAGTGGAATTCTTCTATCCACAAATATTAATTTATTCATTAAATTATTTCATACTTGGATTTTTAAATTTTATTGTACTGAATTGACTTGATGGATTCTATGAACTGCTCTCCTTGAATTTCTCTAACGTCAATACATCTACCTCATATCTCAAAAATAATTTCGTTGGCCCCCAGGGGACGAAGTGATCGAGTGGAACGGCCACTGCCTCCAAGGTAAATCATCCCAAGAAGTTTACGACATAATAGCAGCATCTCGGGACGAATCTCAGGTAGAATTATTCATCTCGAGAAATCTATCTGGTCCAGTTAGTACACCGATGATGACCGGCATGCCCACCACCATAATGCCAATGACACCTAGGCGAATAACAGCGCAGACTCAGTGGAGACAGAAACACGAGCCCATGCCAATACCCCACCAGCCTCACCACAAAGGTAAACATTCACTCCACAATCAATCGATCGATCAATTGCCTCAAATATACACTAGATGAGAAACCAGACTGAATTCAAATGGTTTTCAATATTACAAAAAAAAATAAATAAATAATCAAACAAGACATCTAGATTAATTGCACAAAACGCCTGCAGCCTTGAATCTGTTAAACTGTCACAGATTATATGATTTTTCGCATTCCAGGTCTTAAGAAATGTATACTATGGGGTAGGCCTTTGATATGTATTTTAAATAACTCCCCTCTCTCCCCTAAATGTCACCCCAAACAATTACCAAAACCCCTAGCGACGAAAAAAAAAAACTTGAAAACAGTATTTTTTTAAAAACAATTTCACCGTGAACAAAAAAAACATCAGAGAAAAGTCATTTAAGCTGGATGTTCTGTAGAGTAGAGTAGTGCAACTGCACCCCCGCTAAATCACCATTCTTTGAACTAGCCTTATGGGAGCAACAACTCTGTGACGACAAAAAAAAATATATATCCCCAAAAATAGAGCAAACGAAGAGAATCTATAAATACCGTTATTTATTTTTTTTACCTCCATCGCATACGAATTTTCCATTTTCACTGCGACACAGTTTTTCAAGCCTCACCCTTCGTTTTCTTTTGGTTCTCGGTTGGTTATTTTTTTCTCTCTATCTTCTCCTCTTTTTACCTTCCTCAGTCTTTTCTTTCTCTGTCGTAAATCTTTAGTCAGGCCGTACTATCTCTCGCCCTCCTTCTGTCTGCCGAGCAATCGATTTCCGTGTTTATTTGAGAGCCCTGAGAGGAATATCCCTGTCCTCCGAAATCGATTCGCAGCTGTGCGAGAATTGTAACCAATTCTCCCGCCTCCTTTCCCTCGGCGATGTGGCTCTGGTAGATTTTTTTTATCTTACCTCAACTTTCACTCTTCTATTGGGACAGCTGAAGTTAATCTCTGTTGTCTTTCTCTTTGTTTGGCAAAAATCGGATGAAGTGAAGATGAAAATTGAAAATATCTTGGAGAGACACTATGAATTTCACTTCTCCTGTGTGTTAATGTTACTCACCTCACCCCATGTGAAATTGTTCTGAGCGGTCGGGAGGAATTTTTGGCGGATGAAGTGATGATTTGAGCAATGTACTCTACTTTCATGTACAGAACTGTACGACGTGAGGAGAGATAAGCCATCGGTCCTGGTGACATCACCTGGATCACCTGATATCAATGCCCATGGCAGGGGCAGACATCAACGGCATCCCACGAGTGATGCTCATGTGGGAGGAAGAGTGCAACTTCATCTTCGATACGATCATAATCGTGGTGAGCTTAATGTCGACATTATTTGTGCCTGCGACCTGCTAAAGAGGGCTAATGGACAGTTGAGGAATTCTTACGCTAGAATTTATCTCCTACCCGATAAGAGGTGAGCATTATTTCAAGAAGAAATTACATCATACATGTGGGTCTTAACGACCAATCTTTTCCTCTAAATGCATTACTAAATGGTGTTAAAAATTTCAACCGTTGAAAACTCTCAAATTAACGATTGAATGACAATTTTTATTTCCCATTTTTACATGTCGTCCTATTGCCAAACTTTTCCCCTGAAAATTGATCTTCATCCACGATTTTTGACCTCTTTTGTTACCCCTAGAAATAAAAACTGACGTAAAATTTTCCGTACGTGACATCTTATTCGCGTGGGTGAACATCACTATCGTCAGGGTCGTAGCGCAGCGGGAATAAATAATTTTCCTCCGCGGGGGCTATCTCGGCACCGGACGGGGTTGGCCCATGAGTTTGTGGGGGACGGGTGGTGTGGGTGGTGAAAGAAGAAGGAAAGACGGAGTGGGTGGGTGGTCGTGTTTTTTCCCATCCCCCTTGGGCAATTTTGGCACTGGTGCCAACGCTCCCGTCGCTTTATACGCGAGTCTCTGCCCTAATGGCTGCGCGCGAACGGAAACTTTTCCTGCTTTCGTTAACTTTACAAATCCTTCCATTAACTGGACGCCGGATTTTCTCAACGCTCTCCTGCCGTCACACACCGGTAATTGGCAGTACGGCATCGAGATACATAGGCCATTTTTTTTTCTTCTGGGGGAAAGTTTGATGAGCGATCAGGAGAAAATTGTCATTATGATAATTTTTTTCTACTCAACAATGACGTCAGATTTTAATTGCAGCATTTTATTTTTGACTGAACTGATGGAATAATTTTCCTCCCAGAAACAGCTACATGCTGCTTTTTCAAAAGAAAATCATCTAGAGAGTTTTCAAGTCTATAAAATTTTATACATTTACCAACTGACAATAGTTCAAATCTCTGTGAAGTGAATAAAATTCCGAATCGGAACCATCTCTCGACGATTCCCTCCAAATCCCCGAATTACAAGAAATTTCCATGAAAATAAATGTTAATGATTGGAACTACCCCCATTTCTTGGAGCCGAAAGAAATTCAATAAAATTTCGTGCCAAAACTAGTGAAGGAACGAAGAGAAGAACGAAAACGGTGCCGAATACGAATGCACCCCAATGGAACCAGACATTTGTCTACAACGTGAGAAAGTTTTCGGAGCTCAAGTACAAATCGTTGGAGGTTACTGTTTGGGATAACGTCAGGTACGGGACAAATGACTTTCTCGGTGAGGCGATTGTCGAGCTCGCTTACCTACCAGAGACACCACAGTGGCACTACCTGTATCTCCCAGACGAGAGACGTCACATTGGGTACGTGACTGCCCCAGCCTTTTTACCCCCAGCCCCTTTTCTCTCTCTCAACTGTAATGGAAAAATTCTAATCGATCCTCTGCCACCCCTGCAGGCAGTACCAGGAGCCATCCGACGACATCGCGATAACTCCCGTTGACTATCACCTGAGTCCACCGTCGACGACGTCCAGGTTGAGTGACTCGGACACCTCTGAGTATGACATCACCGATGGTGATGTATCCCAGCAGAGAAGGGGAGCCGATGGAGCCAGCATCAGCAGCATCGGCAGTTCATCCAGGTTAGTGCTCTTCTTTCCCCAAATCCTTATCAATATGGAAAAAATCGACAAACGCTTTGAGTCCCGTTCAACCCCTAGTCTAACTGATCAATTTTCAAATTCTCAATGTTATACAGAAAAAAAATCTCTAATTGCCAAAGGTTTGCTATTGATTTCTAGGGCTTCCAGACGCTTTTCCAAATGCGTCTCGAATGAAAGAATTTTTGGTAATTAATACTTATACCTCCTCCAATTTATTTTTTGAAAAATGCGAGAAATCTTAGTTTTTTGTGGCACCTCTAATTTTTTATTCAATAATAATATTACCTATCAAAATTTTCTAATATATAATATACTAAGTACTGCCCGTGAATTTCTATGCATTGATTTGGTCATTCCGTTATTTTTTCATTTGAAATACTGAACAATTATTGGTATATTGAGGGAAAGTTGTAGCGAGTAAAAGTGATATGATCTGGTCTCCCCCTTCAATTTATTTTCCACTCAATTGACTTTGTCTGAATAATTAATTGGAGGACTTGTATATACTAATTACCAAATTTCTATTGGATGGCATAATTGTAAATCCCTGTATATTATGGATCAGTAATTAGTCCAAGGTTCGCGACATTCTCATTCACGATAGAAATCTTTTGAAACCAAGTGATTTCACTCGAAAATGTTGAGGGACTTTGCGACCTGAGAAAATCCCACAAGAACCCCTTGAAAAACACTTTGAATTTTTCCCATTCCTCTTCCTCGACGCCAGTGAGAAAATTACAGGCAACAGTGGAAGCAAAATTTATAGGAGACTCTTGAAAATCGCGTGAAACTCTGGCCCACCACCATCCTTCAACATTGTGTTGCATGACCTCCGCATTAATCCAGTAACGCGATTTTACCCCTCCTGGTCCGTCAACTTGCGCCGCAGTAGCGTTGCGGCAAATTTTTTTTAACCACTTTTTGTACTCGTTTAATAATTTTATCGTTTTCATTTTCAACCCGTGATTTTTTGCCGTGAATATCTGAAAGCTGTCAGTTAATCCAGAAAAGGGAAAAGATATAAATTCATGTGATGGGAGTCAATTGATAAATTGTGATGTAAGGTCCGTGTTATTCTTTGGCGAATACTTGCGCATCATCTCGTTTTCATGTTTGCGAGACTCATAATATCTTCATGTATGTGATTTCTGGGGATCTCACTGAATTCTCGGGGATAGGAGAATGGTAACTGTCGTCGCAATGGTTATTTCCGCGTGGCGTGCTCAAGCCCACGAGCGTAATTGCCAATAAGCCAACCTGGCCACGCCAACTCTCTCCCTTTCTCTGTACCCCACCTTTATCCCAGTGCAGATTATCCTGGGAATCGTGTTTTCGACTTAGGAGCAACTTTCCACTGGATCAATATGGCTTTAAATTAAAATCTGACGTTTTTATTTCTTTAAGTACATTTGATGTTTCAATTATTCTTCAGCTCGTGGGTAATCTTTCAATTTTATCTCGTGATCAAACTATTTGAAAAATCTTTCCTAAAAAAAATTAAACTTTCGAGTTTAAATCTCAACGTTTAATTTTTTTTTCATACTATTTGTGTTTTTTGTGTGAATAATAAATATAGAGGAATATAAGAATAAATTGATGTTGAATCCAGGTTTCATCAATTTTAATTTTATTTTGCAATCACCAGAACTTCGAGTAACCGATTCTGTAATACACCGATGAAATCAAATAATTAAAAAAAACTTTCACAAAATTCCGTGCACGTGTCTATTTCTAATTTAAATATCAATTTATTTGCTTGGACGTGTTTTAAATGCACGTGCACGTGCTGATCGAATTCAATAGAAATATTTAAAAACAGAATATTACCTCTTTACTTATCGTTCAGTGAAACGTGTCAATTATTATCGAACAGATATTGAGTGAAAATTTTCTGAAATTCATATCATTTGAGAAATTCCTGCCACATTATGCACATTTCCTACGAAAATTAACAACGTATGAGTCGATTACGAAAATAATACGCCACCACGTCTAAAATTTCTACATGCACCCTGAAATATCAGGAAATATCCACCAACTCATTCCGGAAAACGTGTAAATTCATTGATGCATCCCCAAAACAAGGAAATACCCTGAACACGTAGAAACGCAGTAAAATCCTTGTCCATTCAGCCAGAATCACCCACGCCAGTCCCTCCAAGAATTCAAATTCGTTTATTTGTAATAAGCATACGGCTCCTGGTAAACTCACTAACACGTTAAAGTGGTAATCCAAAAAAAGCTCTGTCTTCACACACAAGTGGATGAACTATGCTTCAACGGCTGACTCACCAAAGCGAAAATAGGATAGAAATTGGGAATGTGTCGATACTTCACCAGAGTACGGAAGATCCGGTGTCTTCAGCATGCGTCACGACGGAATTCCTATCGTATTTCCAGACATTTTGTTTCCCGCCGGTCTCTTTTCATCGGGAAAAAATTCTCTTCAACTCGTATGACTCATAAACCGTAAACAAATCTGCAATTTTTCACGGTGAATCAGAGACTTTCGTATTCAATAGAGAGTACATGCAGATGAAAATTTTGAAATATTGAGGGAATCCAACTATCGCTTACCGATCTGTTCTTCGAAACCTGCAGTGAATTGATCGAAAATTCGCGCGATGTTTTTCCCGGGAGAAATCATTTTCGTGACACTGTTGATTTTTATTTCAGTGGATTTATTTAGTCCGGCTGCGGACAATTGTAGCTAATGAAATTGAAATAAACGAAATTTAATGGACCAATGGAATAGCGCCCGGTTTTAAAATCAAACGAGATGCATGAAAAAAAGGTACAAAAGTGGAGGAACACAAGAGGTAGTAACCGAGGGGCGGGAGGAGATGCAAGAGACGATGAGGAGGGTAGTACCGCGTTATAAAACTGGGCAACAAGCCAATTGACATGCCAGTTGGCCTGGGAGCGCCGTTGGCTGCGGAACTACCCCCCTTTTTTACCATTTTTATTTTAAATAATCGTTTATTTTTTAAGTGAAAAAGAAATGAAATATTCAAACGACAGAAACTATTTTCACTGGTACCCCGTGACTGAAAAAAAAACCCCAAACAAGAAGTGTTGTGATTGTTCTCACCCCTTCGCCACAGTTTTTCCAAAAAGCATTTCCACTGAACCAACGGAAAGCAGAATGAACGAATGAAAATAAAAAGCCGAAATATTAGCTTAGAATCATTTGATAGTTGAACTGATACGACTTGGAATAATGAAAGAGGCGAAATTCTGTGAGAAAGTTCGTCGTCAACTCTGGATGAATAACAAATCGTGAGTGTCTCATTTGTGAGAATACGTAATTAATTCTGAGATGCAGGGAGAATTTTTTTTACCGAAGCTTTCTCGTACAAATTGCAATTCCACCTTGAGGATGTTCTCTATCTTGCTGGTGGGGGCTTGCAAGAAAATTCCGGTGCCAACAGTGGTCCACGGTGCCGCTAACCTTAGAGACGTGTCGAGAGTGTCCTTAATTGCTTCACCTCGTTAATTCGTATTCTGAATACGTTGGTCGGAGGGAGGGGACTATCGTTTTCGGATATCCGTCGATGCTGCTCGACTTCCGTCGTTTCTTTCAACCCTTTTGTTCACCAGTCAGGACCTTTCTTCCCAGTTTATTTCCGCTCTTTGATTCATTCCATTTTTTTCACTTCGATTTTCGAGGTTGTGGTTTTACCATTTTTTGAACCTTCTGGCACGCGGCAAAAAGGGATGCCAATTGTTTTCAGTCAGACATGATCGCCCACTTCTGAATTCGTGGATTTTTTTCAGAAGTTCCTCGAGCAATTTATGATTGATTTTTGGGGAATAATTCGTTCGTCAAATTGTAATAGCAATAGCCTATTAATTTGCCGTTTTGTTAATGACATTGTCACGTTTTTTAATTATATTAGAGAGAAATCACATCATAGAGAAGTTTCTTGATGTTAGATAAGAAGTTTCTAGATGCAAGGAGAAGTTTTCTTGGATTAAGAATACCTTTGTAGAATTAAGAAGTTCTCTAGAATCAGGAAACTTATTTCCTCAAATCTGAAAACTTCGCTTCATTGAAATTCGATTTTTTTTTAACATGAAAAAATTTTGCGTTGTAATGCCCGAAGACCTTCAAAATTCTCGCATACTTCTCGAATATTTCTCGAGAGGGAGAATTTTTCTGGAAACACCCAGAAGTTATTAAAAAAAAAATTGCCCTGATCGTTGATACGCAGGTAAGCTCGAGGGAAATATCCGATTAATTTTTTCACCCCGATTTACAATTTCCTAAAAATATTCCATGACGTTTTCCACGAAACAGTCGAGTTCCGTTATCTTATGAGTCATTGTACCGGAAGTTACTAGCCCCGCGAGTCGACGGAATTCTCCCCAGGTCTTCAAATTAAATATTCTCAAATCAATAACCATTAATGATATGCCATAATATCCGAGTATTACGGCATTTTCCGGGGCTGAAGAATTTTACATTGATACGAAAAATGGGAATAAAAATAATTGAGTTAAAAACGGATTTAAAAAAAAAAGAAAAGCTACAAAATTTCACAAGTTCTATCTGGCCGTGTAATCCAGAAATGGCCTTAATCCACCAGTTCTACCCCTCGCCATTATTAATGCACCGAGCGTGGCAATATGCCGAATAATTGAAACTGCAGAGTACTAGGTAGAGAAAGAAAAAAAGAAGAGATAAAGGAGTGGACAGTGAGAAGGCCCCGACGAAGCTTTGAGCATCGAGGGGACAAGTTTGTGGGCGAGCCCCGGCTTCCTGCACATATTTAATGACGTTCGATATCGCCTAATAGGATTATCCGAAAAGGTTTCCACTGCGCGCATTGATAACTCTATCCACCACTGCCATCAATGTCGTATCTCCCAGCACTTTTTTTTCCCCTCCAATGTGTCAATCGTGCTTGCTGACAACTGATACCAAGCACCTGATAATTTACGTATCGGGAAATATTCGCGGATGAATGAAACCTAGAGCGGTTGATTATCGTTTTTCACCTAAAACACTCGTTATAAATGGATTTCCTCGTTTGGGATTTCCCCTGCTTCATTGCCTGGTGATTTCATCAAATATTCATATACAGTAAACGATATTCATTCTTCACTGAAGGAATTTTCAATTAAAACGTTATTTGAAGTTCTTAATTGAAGTATTATTCTGAGTTTTCATTAACTATCTCTAATGAACTCTTCAAAAAAAGAGGAACTTCCTTTCTGCTCGTGAAAGCGTAAGGACCACTCTGAATAATCGGGCAAGCTTTCTAGTTTTGCAGAACAATTAATATTTTATTCGTCAGAACTATTAATATTCCGTCACGTTTCCGGAATTGTTGTCGCATTTTGTCGAGAGATTGGAAGAATAATTGACTTGATTAATTTATTTCCGTTAAAAGTCCGTGAACACAATTTTTTTTTTTATCACAGCGAAGCATCACCCGAAGATATGAAAATAAACAGGAGTTCTCATTGATCGTTTGTACTTGAAATGACATTAGTTGAGAGTCTGGTCGTTGGAACATTTGATCAGGGCAACGTTGTTGTTAATGGCGGAAGTAAGACCATAATTGAATAGTACCGTGCCAAGTTTGTTTTCCCGAGTCTCACTCGTGTCTCTTCCCACCTTCATCCCTCCAGCCACCCCCTTGCATCCTCAATCTCCATCTCGTCCCGAGGCGATAATTAATAATGCACGCCTACGTACACAGACATAAAATTAAGCACGTGTGGGCGAACTCCGGTTGCACCAAAAAAATCCCCTCAACTTTTATCTATCGCGATGTCCAACTTTCATTTTTTTCTTCTCTCCTCACACTCGTTTTGGGTTTTAATCTCGTGCTTTGTTTATTATTTTTTAGGTTTCATAATATGCCGTCAAATTATAAGCGGTACGGCTACTTTTATATTTTCTATTCAATCCTCACTCTGTCACTCTTGCATTAACTTCATTAGTGTAGATACTCTCAATATTTCAATCAATCAATTCAATTAATTTCCACTTACTCTCTCGAATATCGGTGCTTGCACTTGAAAGAAAAAAGAACGAACGCAAGTATCTCTCGAATTGATTTGGGAAAAAATTGGGTCAAAGGTCGTTGGTACGATCAAACTTTTGCACTGGGTGGGGAAAAAAAGGCCAGTGAGAGACGTGGTGTAGACAAGCATCATCTCGTCATCGCTTCTTGCATATGAAAAATCTCGATGAAGTCTGCCGCTTTTTTCTTCATTTTTTTAGTGTTGAAAATGTCGTCGCCTCCAGGTCACTCCATCCCTTGCATTCTCTCCCCCTTGAGCGCACGAGCAAAAATTAATACCTGGAGATGACGATATTTTTAAGGCCATCGGCTCAAACCTCAGGGAAATTAGATGTTTGAGCAATGCTTCGTAGGATTATTCATCATCCAATAAATGCACTCACCTCATCCAGATAGTTTAAGAAATCCCATCACGCTGTACACACTAATATGCATAAAACAAAAATACCATGAACGCATGCTGGAGCAGCCACTATTCCAGCCCACCACCTGAGAGGGATCTCTGTATGGACAGTGAACATCGCAGTCGTAGGGACATGTCACCGCAGGGTAGAAAGAGGGCTGCATTGATGATATCGAGGGATCAACCTGTGTCAATGTCCATGTCTTATTCGCCGTACAGAAAGGTGAGGGCCAAATGTGAAATATTCAATAATCGGTGTGAGAAATTCAATTCAATTTTATACACCTCCTCCGAAAGACCGATGATCTCGCGATATTTCTTCCAAGACCTTCACTCTGAGCTCAACGGAATTGAGGATTTCCAAGTACTTGGAGATTTCTTTTTTTTCGGTGAAATCCTTCTCTACGTTTCTAGGTGAACTTTTCAAGTTTTATTGAAGCCCAATTTAACTGCAGATTTCCATACATTTCGTAATGATACTGTCACTTAAACTTCTCTACTAGAAAATCAAAATATTACAGTTTATGAAAAATGGTATTAAATGAGTTTCTGCCAATAATTCGAGTGATATTGCGCGTAAAAGGGGGTGATTTGAGATTAGTAGATGAGCTGATGCCTGAGATGATAAATCCCAGTGGAAATTCAGATTAATGAAGATCCCATTGTTTTTAGCAGGACGAAATGCCGCGCAGTACGATGGGTCACAGGTCCCAGAGCGCTGCCCCCATGGACTCGCCAAATCTTCACTACAGGGGTAGATCGCAGAGTCCCACTGGTCATCGTTCACTATCACCACCAGAGCACAGATCCATCCCTTATTCCCATGGCTACGTGTCAGCCAGGTACTTCAATTGCCTTGTGTAATTATTCCCACACAGATCAACACTTGGAATTTATCCAGAATACCTCTCCCTCCCTCTTTCCACCCTCATTTTATTACATTCAATTAGCTTGATTACCTGTTAATTTCTGTCATTCAGATTTGGATCGAGATCAGCTACTGCCACACCCACTGGATCACCCAAGAAACGACAATTGCCACAGATACCAGCTAAATTGCATGCAGCCTTGAAGGAGAGAGTTGTCCAAGATCTCGAGGAGAGAGCGAGACTGATGAGGCACAGGAATAGACAGGTTCACACAACATATAGGAGTACAGAAATGGGAGGTATGTTTTATCGTACTAACAAAATAAAATTATAATCCATAATTGGGAAACTCTGTCTACTTTATTTAAATTATAATCTGAAAATCGGGTTTTGACTTCTTCGCTATTCTCCAAGTACCAATGCACATTGCCTCGTATATTCACAACATTCCAATTAATTCAACTTTAAATTCATAATTTTAATACCGCACTGCAGTTTTATTTATTTGACACCTTTACCCCAGCACACGATATTATTTTTCAATCGTCCATTTTGCTCCACTGATCCCTTTGATTTAATTTCGCCTGCAAAATTCTTTACATTTTCATTTAACCTTTTGCTAGGATGGGAAAGACATTACAGTGGGCTATCAGACTCTGATCTCCTGTCAATAGGCCACGATCCCCAGTCCCTCTCGCACGGCCACAGAATGCACAGACCAAGGAGAGGACACCTGAGTCCCGACAAAGATGTTCTCGGTGATTTTGGCGATTCGGATATGGAGAGTATTGCCTCAGTGGCAAGCAGTACATTCAGCACACAGTCGGAGAGGCCGCGTGGCTCTAGAACTCTCGTGTGAGTATTGCAATTAGCCATTTCATTCAGCAAAAGAATCAAAATTCACCATTCCAAATTAATCGTTCTGACTAATGAAGAAACTACTGAGATGATTAATTGACTCTCCAGTAGTTAAAATCAGCTAATAACCATCATTAAATGGACATTACGTACGGAATGCACACCCAGTAGTTGCACTCTCTATTTCCTGCTTGCTTCGGTGGGCATTAGGACACTCGCCGTTAGTGGCCCATCTCCTGCCCCCATCCCATCTCTCGACTCTCTCTAAACTATTAGATAGAAATAGTCGCACATCCCAGCACAGCGTCAATGTCCATTTAATCGTGACCCATTCTGTTCTAGAAAAACATAAAACCAATAAATCAGTTTCAAAAAATCTAGTTCAAAGACACCAGCCAAATCCGAGTAATTAGGAACAAATAATTAGCCGATATGATCGATGCAAATCTGATGAGAAAGGTAAAGAATGGGCTTGATGAGCCACTCATTAACCACGATCAAAACGATAAATATCAATAAAGAAAAAAAAAATTGTTTGCAGACCGACAGTTAAAAACGTATTGATACCCAGTGTCATTTCCCCATTGACCCAAACCCCTAGACGCAATAGGCGTAGGCACAAAATTAGGGTACCCAGCAGTGAATGCCATTGCCAATTAAACTGCAACAGTTGTCCTACTAAGACCTGTATAAACCCAAACAAGCATCATAATAATCCCACCTCCTACCATCAACCCCTCGTACGGAGCAAATCCGCAGTCGTTCGCTCGATGCACAGAAAGATGCGTGTGCCACTTGCAAGATCCAAGACATTTGACGACAATCTCGTGAGATGGAGCAGTCCTGAGACGAGTCAGCCGAGTTACGTGGTGAATTATAACAATTTCAAGAAGAAGGGATCATTGATACCTGAGATACACATTGAGGACTGTGTCAATCGTCTAGAAGACACAGCGAGTTTAGACAGAAAGTTTCTCAGATCTAGATTGAAGCACCGAGACATTGCTAATCACACAAAGAGATCACTCATGGAGATGAGAACAAGAAGTTTTGATTACAACGTTACTGACGATTCTTTCGTCGATGTTTATGAACGACTTGATGTGGATCAGCCGAGACGCGCCAAAAGTGTTGACTACGAGGCTGTATCGAATATATTCAGTGACGACAGTTTGCGAACAGCGAGGAGAAAGGTGAAGAAGAATTTGTCCGACAGTGGAGAACATCTTCCATCTATTAATGATCGCAGCAAGTCTTATTACGATTCAAATGGCTCAAGCTCGATACAAACGTCGGAGACAGCGGACCCTGACGAGGATCACAGACTCCGATCCATGGGCCTCGACACCCTACACTTTCCACAAGACACTTATCGCAATATTATGAGCCGTGAGGAGAGCAGCAAGCAGAAGTACGATGCCCATTTGGCTGAGATAAGCCTCAAGTCGAATCGTAGTCAATCACCAAATAGCAAGGCAAAGAGTCTAGAGGAACACCTCTACGATCTCTTGGAGAGCGACCACATCTACTGCAGCATCGACGAAAACAATACAGATCCCTGTCCTTGCTTGATTGATCCTCTTGACTGTAATTTCGATGTCGTAGATACTTCAACAAGTAGAACAAGTAATTTTGAAAATTCCGTCCCTCAACGACGTACGAGTCAATTGGATTCTGAGGTGTACAATCCCAGAAGGTCATTACGTCGTAGAACTAAAAGTACAGATTCATACTTGGAGGACGATTGCGATGAGTACAAGAATTGGAGTGGGGATTATTTGTACTCGGAGCATGAGAGTTATGACACTCGTGTATCCCAATCTCGGTCCCCAAATCGCCAGTCGGAAATTCATGACGATTACCGGGCCAGAAGCAGCAGTTTCCCAGGTAGATTTGACTACTCTCTGTACGAGACTACCACAAATTATCCAAGCAATGAATCAAGTGCTACGAGCCGCAGAAGACGAAGAAGAAGTACGAGAGATTTGCAACAAACCCCGGTAGACTATGAATTCCATCCTCGCACATACAGAACAACACGAATGAGCAGTTTAGAAGTGCCGAGTTTCTCCCAGAGTAAGCGTATGATGCTAGAGCGTGCAGAGTCAACTCCCACCCTCATTCCCGACGAGGAGGAGATCGAGGACGCTTGGGAGTGTGCCAGAAGAATGTCAAGAAGACGTAGGAACAGCAGTTGCCCGGAGGCAAGAGATATGAGAAATCTCGAGAGCCCTGGCAAAGAACACCCAGAGTCATCAAGCTTCTTCATGGGCTCTGACGATGATTTTGGCTCGGTTGAAACCGTTGTATCACCAGATTATCGAAATAACTCCAAGGATGAAATAGATGAAGAAAGACCACGCGAATTTCGCCCAAGATATTCATCTAAAGACTACGTTGACTTCAAAATTCAAATGCGTACGGACAGATCAAGCTCATACCCGGGCCCCGTAAGATACGACAATGAAGATGCTGACTACAAGAATCGTAAGACAAGCTGTCCAGAGTGTCGGGACTTCTTCCAGCCTCCACAAAGAAGTGACTCCTCCCATCTTCATCAACAGGATCCAAATGATTCGCCAGAGGAGTACGAGAAGCATCGTCCCCTCGCTTACCAGAAACAAGAGCGCGAGAGGCATCTCCGTAAAGTTGAACAGGAGAAGGATCAGGGAAGCAAGAGAAACGTTGCGATAAGCGACACCCTAGAATATTACGAATACTCAATGGAAAGTGAGAGCCAGTGCAGCGAGAACTGCGGATTTGGCCCGTACGATACACTTAGGCCCCGTAACCGAGCACCCCGACCCGGTAACGCTAATTCAAATATCTTTGATTCCCAAACCGCCACCTCCGACACTGCTAAAAACCCACGGGCCAACGTATACCACGATACCACCCAATCGTCACATCACCCTAAACGTGACAATGATCAACGTCGACTGCACGACGACACCACCACAACTGGAATCCACTCCACTCCATCAAAATCTGATGGCAACGCTGGTACCAATTCCGGTGTAAATGACAACTCCATGAATGATAAATCACGAACTGGTGGCAGTGATTACGCCAGTCCCAGTGGTTCGTACGAGAAGGCCTCAATGAGACATCAAGTTTCTGGGGATGGACACAATGGTCTTGCCAAGAGGGGACAGTTCACCAGGAGCTTGAGTAATGCCGATGCCCCGCCCGATGAAAAAACTGGTGAGTTGACAACTCCATTATTTCTGATTCTCTATTATTTTTTGGGGGATTGTGATGACCTCACCTTGAGGCCACCAATCAATGATCATTCCAGTACCACCCCGAGCCCCTACGCCCCTCTTCTATCTGTTCTATCGGAAAATGCATGTAATATGTTCTTGATTCGAGTGTTCTGACGTCAATGATACAGCTACCTCCACCCCCTCACCCTTCCCCGGATCCTTTGGTGAGGTCCGCGCAGATGTTTTATCCTCCACCGAGTCACGAACTTGACCCCCAGCTGCTTTGGGTATCCACTTTTAATCGATCAGAAGTGCCAACCACGTTGAAGATGGTACTGCCTTGAGGTGGAAAAACCTCGAGTGGTGGCTCATTTTCGGCCAATCTCTCTCATCCATACACTCGTGAGATTCTAGTTTTTCTTATCTTCCACATACGCCAGTCGTGTTGGGGTTTTGTTACATCAGCCTCTCTCTCTCTCTCTCTCTCTCTCTCTCTCTCTCTGTGTCTCTCTCTTTGTAACTCGTGTCTCAGAGTCTTTGGCTGTCACCCAAATTACGCTCAAGGTCTCACTGGAATGGCGGGTTGTCATTGGACTACACGTACATGGGCCCTTGTGACGAGAAAACTAAGAACCATCCTCCAACTGGCTCAAGCTCTCACGTTCTCCACGTAATTGCATCCTCGATTTTCTGCCACTTCATTCAGAGAGTGAAAAAAGTGAGAGGAGTAAATAGAATGGATAGGTATTAAGGGGAAGAATTTTAGAACGGATAATCAATTCTGTTATCTTTCTCTTGAGTGGCCATACGTTATCATTTTTCCTGCCTTAATTGAGGTGTCAGCTTATTTTCAACATTGATAAAAGTTCAGCTCTTCCTCTCTCTCTCTCTCTCTCCAAGCAAATGCTTTTATCAATGACGAACAATTACTTACGTAACGACCTGATGCAGATCTTCACTCTGGAATTGTTTTACTTATTTAAGCAGACGGAAGCTTGAGTGATACAGCAGTGGGTCTCCATGTGGAGGAGACAACGAGAAGAGGAAGGAAAAGTTCACCAGGAAGTAAAAGCGGAAGTGGCAGTAGCAGCGGTGGAGGGAGTGCTGTGCAGTATCAGGCTGGTCTTTCGAAGAAGAGTGTCAGCACGAGCCAACTGTCAGCGACAGGTAACAGAAATTTTCCATTTATCCAATTATCAATGTCTTTTGCTCATAACTCCCTTGATCATAAATATTGTCGTATCGTAATCTAATACCCCAGTAGATTCAAATGTTCCAATCGTCTCCGATTATCTCACTCTACCTTTTTTTCACTTCAATGAAATTATTCTAAACGTGCTCTATCAGAATTTCTCTCGACGAGCGAATACAACAGATTATTAGATTAGTCAGAGTCTAGATTAGTAGACAGACATGAGGGCAATGCACTTTTGATTCGTTTACGGTTCCCTCACTGTCCCCTCGTAATACTGAAAATCATGCGAGTGTCATGAGTGATTAATTCATTAATTGATGCAAAAGTGCGTTACCTGGAACATTAATCAATCGTCTTGTTACATTCTAATCCTGATTCTTGTTTTCTCTATCATCCACTCTCATCTCTATCCGCCTCTCTCCGACACGAAAAAATTGAAAATCCAAAAAAAAAATGAATAATCAATGACACAAAACACATTATCAACAAACTTCGCATCTCAACCGTCGCTGGGACCTGACCTGCACCTTCCACCTCAAATATCATCCGTGAATTAATCACGGCGCACTTTGGATTGCCGATCGATCGGTGGACCGATCGACCTGAATCTTAAAAATATCAATAATCACGTTCATCCATGCGTTTAATGAAACATCAAAAATCACATGTTTCACTCGACCACTTGAACTTTTGTGTGACTTTAAACAAATCGTGTCAAATTAATAATGAACTGGATAAACAAAAAAAATCAAAAATCCATAAACATTATCATGAACTTGAAAACGATAACGTGCCACGTGCGTGTCTGTTGGTGGTACATGCGTGGGCGAGGAAGGCCGGAAACGGAGGCTCGGGTTCGGAAAGAAGGGGAAGTCGTCCTTTACAGTTCACAGGAGTGAGGAGGTCCTGCCGGAGGACACGGCCAGTGGAAGAAGTGGAAGACAACCGAGTTCAGCGAGCAGCGATGGCGAAGGCAGTGGTGATGGGGACAGGTCCGATTTATTTTATCCTTTCCTTTTTATTTTCACCAACCACGTACATGTGGAGTTTTTCATTGAAAAATCAGTTAATGTTATTTGAGAGATCGTAGACTTTTCATTTTTGACCAATCAAGTCCCGACGAGACGTGAGTAAACGAACGGAAAAATTCAAGCAGCAAGAAGAATTAACGAGAATCACCACGCACCAAATCACACAAACACAGAATTTATTTGGGATAAAATATCACTTGGATACTTTTTTCATAAAAAATTTGAGCAGAGTCTCTGGGTTGGAAGTTGAAAAGTTTTTCCCGATGATTCATAAGACCAGTAACTCCTTTTTTAGAGGACCATGAGCCGCCAGGTGTGGCTCCGCAGACAAACGCAAGTGATCCTTAGTGGAGACCGTGTGCTCGATGTATCGTATTTTCATCAGGCAAACTGATTAATTTATGATTTCCATCACAAAATTTAAACCCCAACGAGAAATTTATAAAACTTGTAACACTAGCAATGTTAATATGTGAGTTATCTCATAAGTCAACTCACTTTGACAATCGCTCTGCCACTGTCTTCTATCTTTTTTCCACGGTAGGTAACAGCAAAACTAAAGGTGAGACACTCTATTCAGGAGCAGAATAAATCGAGTAAAATTGAATTATAGAGGATAACCATGAGACAAATTAAGGCACTAATGGTCAATATTTTGTCTCTTTTGATTGTTATTTGCCCTCAATTTACCGTTGCAATAATCTGAAAAACAAAGGCTTGAGTATAAGTAAATTAACGAAGAAATCAACACTCATTAACTTAACATAGACTTAAATTGATGAATAACCAATGAAATAAGTGCAAACGTTTAGAACTTAAAGTATTCTTACGTGATTGACTCTTAGGTAGCGTAGAATTGATTTTGTCGTTTTTCTTCCTAGGTAGCTGATTGAATTTGCGTCTGATAGAGTGCAACTAGAGTGCAATTCATTAGTGCGCCCGTCGCTTAGTTCTTGCGCGCTTTTCCATCTATACATATAATATATAACGCATCCGGAAAATACTTTTCAAGAGATTGGAAAGCTCTTTTCTCCCTCACCCCCTTCTCCTCTATTTCTTTTCTCTCTTCATACAATTTCTTTTATTTAATATCCATTGATGTTTACATGTTTCATAGAGCACTCGAGTTTAACTAGATTAAATTTTATTTCTAACTGTACGTTTATAAAATGATACCTTAGTTGTATTATTTTGTCACACACGTGCAGATTGTCCTTGTCATTGTGAAACCCGAGAGAGAGTGTTGAACTTAGCCGGCTCTAATTGCCCGCTGCTTCTGTCGCAACTTTTTCCCTTGCAGAAAGCCAACACCATCTCCAGCTGTTTGACTATGTCATAGCTCAGCGTTTCAACTGACAAACAGCAATTACCATAGAATATATTTAATAACAATGTACAAACGACTTCAACCCTTCTGGGAATTTAATTTTTATTGTAAAAAGGGAGAAAGCGTTTTTTTTCTCTCTCTCTCTCTCTCTCTCCTATTCCAAAAGTTTATCGTCACCGTCACCAGGACACGCACACAGAGAGTGGAGAGAGCAGAGCCGAAGATGAGAGGACTCGAGCACCAAAAAATAAAGTGTATAAAATCGAGGGCGAATGATAGAGAAATATTGATTGAAGGGAGAGTAGTCTGCGATTTAAAAAAAAAATACCAAAAAAAAAATGACGAGTCACCAATGAAATAGTTAGCGGTATTTCTTGTTTGGTTTTACAACGCAGAGTGCGGTGTGGTTGGAAGCGGTACCGATACAAGGGCATCTAGTGTAGCTAGCCGAAAAAGGAACAGCACACCGAGCAGCTTTCAACGCTCGCAGGAGGTTGTTCCGTGTTATCAGCGACTTGGTGCAACAAGCCAGGGTGGCTCAGTTGCCAGTGACACCGCTGGATCCCTCAACTCAATCTCTAGTTCTGAAGCAAGCTCGTAAGTAGTGCCCACCACTCCTCGGGGCGAAAAACAAAAACAATGCCAATACGTGAAAAGTTTTCAAACAAAAATCTTTAGACAATGTCGATTCAACTATTCGACGAGGCCAGCGCGTTCCTCTCATTCTCTGTCTCTGTCTCTCTCACTTCACCTTTTTCACTATTTATGTATTTATTCATTATTGTTTTTATTTTTTTGAGATGTCTTGTCACGTGTTTTTCAACTCCTAAAGTCCATTTTGCGGATTTTTTTGCCGGCAAACCGTAGGAATTGGGGGAAAATTCATTGATTGAGTTTCATTGCTCTCAGTGTATTAAAATAATTGATTTCATTTGGGAGGATATGTTTTCACAATATTGCCCTAAATGTCTTCTGTGTGATCTGTGTCCATTCCATTGTTCATTACGTACATTCGACGGATTTTTATTTTGAAAAATAAAAAATCCGTCGATGTCTTATTTTTTTCATTTAAAATTATATTGTAAATTAAATTTTTTTTTTCGTTTATAATCGCCTGCTCCTATCTCTAATCCACTCTCAATGTGTTAATATCGTGGCTTAATTGCTTGGTCGCCGTTGATGTTTTTTGCACAATTATCGATGCACCACTGGACTTATCTTATCACGCACAACCGTTGGCATTTCATTTTTTAAAATCACCTACCATGGTTATACCATTTATTACACTCCGATGAGTTAATAATCACCGAATCCAGTCCCAAACCTGGTCGACGATGGTAAAATATCCATAATTACGAAATTTATAGACCTACTACAAATACGCACATCTTTGACGTACCCTTCGATTTGTAGTGTAAACGATTGTAGATGATAGATGAAAATCACACGACGTCACGTGTAATATTGTTACATGATAGTTTACCAATAAAATTGTACTGCGTCGGAGAAACTTGTGTCGATGTGAAAAGAATGATAAGATACTAAAAATGAAGAGATTTATGACGTATGATCTGAGGATTTGGTGTGGAGTTGTCAAGTAAGTTAGTGCTGGTTCGATAATAAATCTCATAACAATTAACGAATAATATATATGCCGGCATGGTAAATAATGTAAAGAAAATAAGCATCAGCTGAAGCTCGCAGAACAAGATCGGGATAATAATTCCAAATTCTGTGAAAAAAAATGGAGTAATTAATTGCAGCTGATATTTATTCTCCAGTATATTATGAAGACTTGCGTGCTGAATGACTTTTGCATGAAAATTATTTTCTACAGCCTGGTATGTTTAACAATTATCTGAATTCCTATCATTCCCGCTGTATGAATAACACTATCTTAAACTAATTCACACAGAAAGAATAACACTACACTGTCAAGCGTGAGTTCTTCTTGTTCTCGAATTGTTCTCCCACAAATATAGATCTGACTGAGGTATTCTCTTTCCTCCTGAACGTGGAAGGTCATTGATGATAATTTATTTAATCAGTGTTGAAAAGTCTTGCAGACGACTCGTAATAACATAGAACGTGCGCTCTCGAGGAGTGTTAAATATATTCTGTAGAGTCTACTTGAGTCTCACGTCCCTGTCTGACAAAAGATGGACTGATCTCTAAATAATCCAACATTTTATCTCATTTACTCTCCTTATTTCGTAGAATCTATGATTTTGTTGTTCTCTACTGAATTGAATTTCAGTAGTGATGAAGGAGAAGTACTAATCGATTTCTCTTCAATGGTGATAAAATATAGTTGGTCTCCGTGCCTGAGAACAGCAGGTGAAGGTGGACAACTGAGTGAATTCATCGATGGACTTGGACCTGGTCAATTGGTTGGCAGACAAGTCCTCGGTGCTTCATCACTCGGTGACATTCAGTTATCACTGAAATACAAAAATGGACTTCTGGAAGTCGAGGTCGTACGTGCGAGGGGTCTCCAGATCAAACCGGGATTCAAAGTGCATCCAGGTAAATCAACGATAAACAATTAATCCTTCGTCCTTACATGATAACATCAACATTTTTAATGTTTCCGTCGTTTTCAGCTCCTTACGTCAAGGTTTATCTCGTGAATGGCAAAAAATGTATAGAAAAGGCAAAAACTACAGCTGCGAGAAAAACTTTAGCCCCTCTGTATCAACAGACTCTAGTATTCAGGGAAAACTTTCAGGGGTGCTATTTACAGGTAAACATCTGATTCACAATTACATAATTACTGAAGAACTCCCTTTTGAAAAATTGTCAATAAGCAGTTTTTCAAATAAAAAGTAAAAGTTGATAATAATATATTTTCTTGGAAAAGGTAACGGTATGGGGTGATCACGGCCGAATAGAAGGGAAAAAAGTATTCATGGGTGTTGCACAAATAGCGCTGGACCTTCTGAATTTGAGTGAAGTGGATGCAATCGGGTGGTACAAACTCTTCGGCAGCACGCATCTGGTCAGTGGTACTCCATCCTTAGCATTATCGCGTCGCTCCTCGGCCGCATCTCTGGACTCTCTAAAATTATGAGAGCTGATTGAAGTCCCCCAATCAATGAGAAACTAACTGCCCCCCGAAGCAACGAGGCAATAGCCCCCAAAGACAAAAATACAATCGATATGAAATTCAATGTTCACTTTTTTCTGTACTAAAGAACAATTGTTGAAGAGATATGTATATCGTATTACGAGATACTTAATTCGGATGTTAACGTCACATCTGATTATCCAATGCTCAAACTGATTGAGCAAACTCGCCGAATGTGGAACTTGAGTCGCTTATTGTTGGAGACTAGGCCCCAGAGAATAACTAATAGAGATTGTAACAAGGTTGAAGTGTTTTTAAGGGAGTAATTGATCGATTTGAAAGTTCCTTTGAGAGAAGTTGAAGGATTACTCTGATCTGCGAGTGATTGACGGCTCTGAATACGGTAATGCAGGTGTAGTTTACGAGATTGATGACACATTATAAAAAGGAGGGAATCCCGTGCGGCCAGAGGAGTGCACTGTGAAGGATATTATTTTCAATAAAAGTGATTGAATGAGATATTTAAAAAAAACGTACCACTTAAAGCACATCACATATCATGTCAGATGAACTAGTCTCTAGGTAGACTAGCTGTAGACGTAGCGGCCATGTGACCGGATCGCCAGATAGCTTTAGGTACGCACTCGACATCAAGGCATCGTTCGTAGTTTTGTTGGTTCATTACTCTGCTCTAGTGCATCTATTGAATTACTTCAATTACTGCATTTTCCACTCACATCGTTTACCAAATTGCTCGATGCGAGGTTTTTATTTTAATGGACCAGAGCAGGGTCTTGGTATGGTGTGGTTGTTTATATATTTCCCCTCTTTTATTATTTTTTTATATTCTGGTTATGCTTCGTTTGGATCAGATAAATAAGAATAAGCTGTAGATGCAAGTGGAGCCGAGTTGAATGCCCCGTAATTCGTTTCATATTTTTCAGCTGATACTTTTTTTTTATACAAGTGATTTTCGTCTTGTGACATGTTATTTTGTTTTTCATTATTACTCTCTTCGTGCATTGGTTGTTTGGTATTTCTAAGCATTTTACGAATATCAAGTTCTTGAGTCGAGAGTAAGTTAATCATTCAATCAGTTCATTCGATACACAGAGAATGCTTTTTGTAGAAACTCTCATTTTCCACCGTTAATTACACTGATTCAATATTAAACAGTTGATTTTTTAATTGTACTGTGGATTTTTAATTCACAAGTCTATAGATAACAAAACTCTTTAATAATTCAATTAAATTATTTATTGTCACAATGTGGATGACTGACTACGGTGAAATTTCATAAAGACTTGAATTGAAGTGTTAGCGTCATTGAAAAACTCTGATATGTTGGACTCAGGAATTTTCACCCGAAAAATCTTTACACCAACCTATTATTCCATCGCATCTCTGCACAAGTTTTACCCAAGTTTATACCCCAGTAGATAATTTGAAAGATACAGAATTTGCCTCTTGATTAATCCATTAATAATTGAAAACGAGGTAAGTTCCAGAGCCGTATTCGGAGTCTTCAATGTAAAATAATCCCCTGGCTGTCGTATCGATATAAATCATACCTATCGACTCTTTCTAATTCATCTCCCTCGTATTTACAGTGAAATCAATGGAGCTCGAGTGAACGTCATGCTGACATAAACTCGAACGTGGTGTGTCTATCAAAGTGAAACCCAAAGGAGAGACAATATTGAGTATAAAAAAATGTGATCGACGAAAGTGGACGATCCGCTGAGTGCGAAACCGAGTCGCATATTCAAAGTGACGAGTCTGTGAAAAACTTAATTTTCGAGTAATCGCGTGAGTGATTAAAAAATCGCTATAATGAGCTCTGAAGAGTTGATTCGATTAATGTATCTATCAGACCGATAGCTGAGGACCACCGGTCATGAACTATATATAGCGTATACATATGCAGATATATGTATAGATATATGAAAAAAAAAAATATGAAACGTTGCTATATTTGTATATGGAAGGTTTTTAAATTTAGAAATCTTTCAATTATATTGACTGCTGAATGCGAGCGATGTTTAAACCTTGAATTTATTTATTCACTCTTGTTTCATTGATCAGATTATATTCACATTTACGTCATCGACAGATGGTGAAAGAGAAAGAATTTCAATTGAATCACAATATTCATGGAAATTTATTCGGCACTGTGTGTGTACCTTGTTGTAAATAATTGTACGGCGAAAGGGGTATGCATGCAGCTCGAATATTGCGTGACTGAAAAGCGCCGTGTGATGAACGAGCAATGTTGTATAATTGGGGGATATATATATATGGACTCGCATTGAGTTTTTAACTGCCTGGTAAATATTTTTCTCATTGAGAATTCAAAGTTTTTCAGTTTGAATTGTACTCACCCTAGGATAAATAATATTTTTGTTATTCAATTTATTCGATTATGTGAGTCAATCGAGTGAATTTTCAGGATTAGATGAAGGATGGAATTTGTATTCTACTGTATAGCTGTTGATCGTCATGTTATCGATTAAATTCATCTGTGTTTACACGTCGCATGGTCGCACGCAGATAAACGGTGGATTAAAAATGATAAATTCTAGAGGAAAACAGAATCCGTGGAAAGAATCTGCTCATCACCTCATGTCAGCTTATTTACGTCAGCTTCATTCAATATTATTTCGGAGAGATCTAGATATTTTGCTTGGGTAAAATGAGCGTAGGCAACGTCTGAATTCCAACAGCTGGATACGATCGTGTGAGAGCCATAGAAGGATCTTATCATATCTATAATGTGCTTAACTAAAATTAGAGGGAAATAACTCAAAAAAAATAAATAAACGAAACAACCAAAAATGAAAAAAAAAAAAAATCAATTAAAACATACAACCACAAAACAAGGAGGATTTTTTACTCGTGAAACCAAATGAATACTGAACTGTAGAGTCGTAAAGAATAATCGAGAATTATAAAAAATATAACAATTGATGAAACATTGTAAGTACTGTGAAAAAGACGAGATTAAAAGAAAAATAAAAAAGAAAATTAAATAACGATTTAACGAATAAGCTGAATTTCTAAGTAAAACTTTTTGCAAAGCGTGAGTGGGAGAATTATAGTCACAGGGGGTCAAACAAATGAATAAAAAAATAATTACAAGTAACGAGAGAGAATAAACAGCAGTGTAATAGTCAAAACAAAATTGAGGAATGGATAAATATATGAGACTATTGATAATGTAAAATGTTCAGTTTGTAATCCACCATTTTGCGCGTCTATTCTAGTCCCTGCAATCAATCGATAATCATCGAGATTTTATTTTGTAATGAACCCACAATTTTAATTTCACTAATTCAGGACAATTTTTCATGCAATTGTAAATCACCAGGGAATAGAAAGACGCGGACTGGTCCGCGCTTGAAAAAAAAAAACATAAAATATTGCATATCCTATTCAGATGTAGATCTTTGATAACTTACTAAAAAAACAAAAAACTAAAAAACTAACGAATGAAAGAAATAAAATGGAGAATATACTTTAGACTTGACAAGTGGGAACGTTTGAATTTTTTCTTAGACTTTTCTACGAAAGAGTGTGTCGTGTATTCGTGAGACTACCACCGGTTGAGGGAATAAAACGGAGTAGTGAGAGAGTAATTAGAGAGATGATTTATTTGAATCGCACAGGGCGGAAATTTCTAATGCAAAATTTCAAACAGAAAACCATCGGGCACATCCATATGTTGCACATACCATTGAAAATTGCACTGTGTCGTTGAATATTGTAATAAACGTTACGAGGAGAAAAAAAAACGCATAAGTTTGGTGATGAATGAATCACGAGGAAAAAAAACCATTGAGAATGTGCTGTGCTTTGTTGATATCCGCAAAGTGGCATAGCAAGAGTTTAAATCAAATTTATTAGGTGAATCACTGATTGAGAAGAAAAATGTGGAAAAAATATGAGTACCAAAATTTTTTGAATTACGTTTTCTTTTGACCCACTGTGAGTGACAGAAAGACTGCCTCTTTTGCCATTGGAAATTCATCTTCACGAAATAACTTGAGAAATAAACGAAGAAAAGAAGTGAAAATTGAATATAGATATTGTTTACGTTAATCATTTGAGAAAGTATATGAAAACTGATTCCTACCCTTGCCTTGCCGATTTGTAAATAGGCGTGCTCAATTCGATAGCTCGGCGGTGAATCATGAATACATATAATCTTAATAACGGATCGTAAATTCCAACAAAAAATGATGAATGAAAGAGATAAAAAAAATAAAAAAAATTAATATCCGACTTTGTACCTATACTAATTAAACTTAACGAACCGAAAAACTTACCATTAAAATATCTGGATTGCACATGACTGCTTATTTCGATGACGTTTGGAGATACATTGAATGATCATTTTGGGAAATTGCACCATTGAGAACCAAACAACATCAGCAATAAATAATTATATCATCCAAGCGCGATGGGGTACCACTTTTGTCAAATTTAATGAGCCAACTTAGGGTTTTAAAGGAATCGATGAAGAATGAGAAGACACCGGTGTGACACTCGAACAAATGGAAAATTACGAAGTGCGGATTAACGACAATGCCAACAATTTATTAATTATCAAATTAATTAACGACTACCTTATAGAGTCGAGTCCAAAAAAAATGTAGGATAAGTTATCTTGTATCTTGTATTTAATGTCACGACTGATTCGTGCGAGGAGACGTTCAATGATCACTTGAATAAATTATTCGTACGCACGAGTCGGTCGTAAGATGGTGATCCTTACCTTTACTACCAAACAAATCATAAAAGAGAAAAAAATGAAGAAACTGTTGAAAATGAAGTGAGAATTACTACTCGAGTTTAGACGAGATAATCGGGACAAGCTTCGTACATTTCTAATTTGTCAATGGTGATATAAAAAAATGTGAAATACGACCGTGTACTTATTGTTTCCCTTGAGAACGCGTGGTATGTGAGAATGTGAAGATAAAAAAAATAAATCTCCCAGAGTGAAATGATGAAAAATCCGATAAAAACAGAGAACGAAACTAAGCAAATACGATTAGGAAAAAAACGTATTCTCGATTAGTCTCCACGAATTTCCGTCATTCATCGTCTGAGTTGAAAAACTCATTGAACACTAAAAAGTGATTTCTCGGAATTAAATTTAAAAAAATTATAATATAGGGATCAAGACGTTTGTCGAAGACTGTACATATTGCATGAGCGATCAGCCCAAAAATGAGGAATCAATTTTTATGATACTATTAGAGCATTATTTGGGGGGTGGATTTTCGTGGTGGCTGATTGGGGAGTAATTAATATAAAGCGTTAGTGACTGTATCCAGTATAATATACCAGGTAAAAAAGATACCCCCAATGCCAGACATGGCGTGTGACAATAAAGTGATTCAATGATATCGTTTATTTTCATTAGAATTACCACCTGCACTTGTGTTTCATGTAATCCTACTCTTTTTTTCGATAAATTTGCGTATTCACAATAAACTTGTTGACAAATTCAATTTCAACTCATTTACTTAGCATTTCTATCTGTCGATCATTTAGAAATTTGTGAAAATGCGTCAGCCATCGGTAACATGGGGATCACAAGGTATCCATTCATGGTGAAAATTTCAGTGCATGACGAGCAATAGTGATGGCACTAGTGAGGCATCAATTTAAAAACTAGCCACTGACAGGTAATTACATTAATTTTTTTTCAATCATCCGTTAACTTGCCAAAAAAATTATATACTTAAATATAAAAAATTATGCATTTATATAATGATAACATGAACGTGTTAATTAAATGCACATTAAATGTTTCGAGAATTATTCTGTAGCGAAAATTTGCAACGTGCATTTAAATTCGAAAAATGTCAAATGAAGCGACATTTTTCAGTATATACCCAGCCTTGAACCCCCAGAGATAATTGGAAACACCACCGTACGACAAAATCCTGATTCAATATAAATTCCAGTCAATTCTCTCTGCATACGAAATTTTATTAGACTAATCCCCTCACAGAAAAAAAGCCAACCCTTCGAATATCTGTCTTGCATCGAACAAGGGAGGTATAAAGTTAATTCATGCACGAAAGAACGTAATAAAAAACGACTTACACGGCCAACGGTACACCATGCCCCCAGGTTTTAGGTGTCGCTAAAAGTTTAATCAAAGTCAGATTAGCTCGCGGGGGCGAATGAGCCGAGGGCGAGGTGCCAACGACTGGGAGGCCGCACGAGTTTTATTAAACAGTGAGTTCATTACGGGTTGGAATAACCCATGTTGGGAGTTTGTTTTGATCTCACTTTTACGGCTCGATTTCTTCATCGACTCGGCTGCCTTGATTGGTTCTATTTACCGGAGAAAAAAAAAATCAAGAAATTCTACTCAACCCCCTGGAACCCCTTTTCTTGTAAAAATTCCAGGGCACCTCTTTTCCCGTATTTTTTATCCTCATACCATACCGTACCATAATCTACATAATATGTTCATCTGAATAAGTAATACATACGTTATGTAAAAGAAAATACATACGATGGAAAAGATCGAATTTAATTTCAGAATGATTTTTTGTGGATTTCAAATAAATTTGTACGTGCAAAAATGTTTAGGTTCGATCCTGCGGATATTTAAAACATTGGAGTTGAATTCACAGGGTAAACAGTCTCTAAAGCCCGCAGGTCAGAGTACTAAAGACATTGTGCTAAAGACACAATGATTAAGGGAGCATGCACCAACACACAAAGCGATTCCCCGCGAAAGACAGAGCATTTAACATGTCTGTAGCACGTCGGTGTGACCAAATGGGGTGAGTGGGAAGTGATTCAATCTCTGTATAATCCCTATGATCCCCAGGGTATCGTTCCCCCGTGCACTGAGAATCCCCCGTCTCCAGCCCCAAGGGCTTGTTCCAGGCCTCTCTGTTTACCTCGTTTGAATCAAACAAGATCATCTCCAATAATCATTTCATTACTCGTCAATTTAGCCGATGGAAATGTTTCCTCAATTCTCATTATTACCGGTGAGGGCGAGGGGAAATGAATTCATGATGCTCCAGGAGGGGGGATTAAAAGGGCCAGAGGAAACGCGTAACCGCGCAATAACGAACTGGTGGAGAGTGAAGGTTGACACACCCCCGCACTCTATTTACACTCAGCTTTGTCGGGCTCTGTGTGTAGACTGCTGTACACGTACGTATTTGGCTTAACACTAATGAATCTGATTTGCATCTGATCCTGACTGATCTATACGATATTTGCCCTCCCGTCGACGCAGCACCGATGAATTATTTAGGATCTACTTCTCAACTATTCCTTTATCTTTTTCTGCTAATTTTGTATTGCTCATCAATCTAAATGGTTAATATTGGGTTTCTAATTAAACTCATATAAAAAATCACATCGATAGAAAAATTACGTATAGTTTATGTTAACGGGCATTTTATATTTGATTTCGTTGAGAGCCCCCAGTTAAATTTAACGAGCCTTCAATGAGATCTGAAGATTCTTAATAAAATTTCGAAATAATAATAAATTTAAATACATCTCCTCTCTCGTTAAAATAATTGTGCACTAATAATTTTTCAAAATATTTATATATTCCAATGATTTTTAATTAACGATTTTTTTCTAAGAGTTCCTTATTTCTGGAATTGTTTTATTAAGTTGTGATGATTTTCAGTCGTAATTGAATTTTAATTGTTGGCGCGTGAACGGAATCAATAGTCCGACATTTTCTGTGAAAAAATGATTTAATATTTGATTGAGCCGGAGAAAATCGATTGATTCCAAAGGCATGTAAAAAGTCGATGAAAAACAATGAATAAGTAAAGTCCGGTGCAATTTGTATGGATTTGTCGCGAGGGGATTGATAAAAATGTAGGAATCTGGACCGAACACCGTAAGCCAGCAAGATCCATCTCCATTCTCCACCTCATCTCCCATTTCTTTTTATTTATTTTTTCCTCATGTACGTGTGTGTATCCCTCAGCATCCTCTCTCTGCAGGTCCGTGTTTGATGGGCGTGGTGCCCTCAGGATCACCCTCCACTGCTCCGCCTTCTCGAATCCGAGATTCCAATCTCCTTAATACAAAGAAATTTTTCTTCATACCGTGGAAATACAAACAGAAATTCTGAGTAATATTTGGAGAAGGTGCCTCACCTCCCCCTTCGATCCATAAATTCATGAGCCCTTTTCTGACGAATTCAATCCCCTGGAACCTGCGCCCATAAACAAGACACGCGGTTAAATCTCGAACGTGCGGCCACCGATCACTCATAATCTAATTAAAAATCCCAGGGTTGAGGGATGAAGGGATCCATTCAAACGAGTCACAATTTTAATATTAAAATCGCGTTAATGTTGGGGATTTGACACGTGCGACAATGACTGGGGCTTGGAGTCCACCCTTCAAGAAATAGAGCGGATTTTGGCTCTCGGGCTTGTTTACTTGGGATCTGCCATGACTTCTGGATGGTTTATGTGTTTGGAGAGGAATTGCAGTCACGTGTATTTATTTACTTTGGTTTTCCATGGATATTACACTAAGAAAGCAAAAACGTCAATCGAGTATTTATGCAACTTATCGTCATTCAATATTTCTTTTCCCTCAATTCAAGTCCGCAATGACTCGAGCCAAGAGTCTTTTACCGTTATCTTTTTTTTTTTCGAGTGCGATCTAAATCTGCTTCTATACTTGATTAAAGTACGCGAAGGATAAATGCAAGTGTATAATCGATTGTGAATAGAATTTTTGTCAGTCATACCCGTTAGGTGGTTTGTTAATTTTTTTTAGAAGTGGTAAGATGATCTTTAACTTCTATTAATCATCACCGATGTTTGAGCAAGTGGTAAGTCCTAAAAAGTCAAGTCGTCACAATCATCCGTTTCCAGTTCATAAAATTCCCCTCGCACAATGGCTACCTAACTAAGTGTAGTGGCTATCCATGAAGCTTTTCCCATCCAAAATATATCATTTTATTTAACACATTTCGTTTTGGGTGTTTTTTTTTGTTCATTTATATTTTTTTTCATTTGATTCTTTGAAAAGGGTCACCAGGTAAACTGTCGATGTCGTAACGCCATCAGAGTGAGAAATGAATAGGGAGGATGTATTCTTCGATGTGAAGTCCCGGGGATTTCTAACGTGTGACAGGTTGATGCTTCTTCAGAGTCGACGAATGCACCTTCAAGCCTTTCTGTCACGACAGTCGAGACTTTTGAAATGGGTTGAGTATTTTTTACTTCATTCCTTTTTTGCCACTTTTTAAAGATCGTTTTTTCGGCAGATGTACAGTACTCCTGCATGATGATAACAATTATCCTGAAAAAATAATAAATTCGCACGATTTTCCACAGTCCGGTCATGAAATTAACATTGAATTATATCTCTTTTATAAATACCTAAGAAATCAGGGAGATTTGTGTAATGTCATGAGATAATTATCAAAAAATTAAATATGACTGGGAGTTAAATATAAATTGATAGATCCAATGGAGAATTTGAAATTTCACATTTCACATTTTGATCCAGGAACGGTTGCGCTGATTTACAACATTTCGTAACGTGTTTTTGCATATTTAAAGTGACTACCGAGGAACGGCAGCCTAGGTTTCCTTATCTCCCAAGATCAGATCGTTCATAAACAAGATTTTTTGGATAAATGCGTTTTGAAGTGCGTGGGCGTGGCACCGAGACTCGGAGAAGGCCTTGGATAATAGTCTCTCTGGTCCCCTCTCGGTGGCTTTCTCAGCCACAAGGATATTGGGATATTTATATGAGTCGAGGGGGCACGTGAAAATTGGCTGCCAGAGAGAGAGATGAGTCTATGATTTTTCTGGTCATATTCGCTGGCTCATGGAGACCACATCACATCATTTGTACTCCGCCACGATGACAGGTGATTTTAATCCTAGAAATCAAAATTTCCCATGAATATCGAAACTTTTCCGAGCGAAAATTACAATATCAAGGAAAATACATACA